TTCTTTTTAAATTTTGTGACTGACATTCTACTTAAATTAATTTAAAATTGAAATAAACTTTTTTATTAATTGGCATATATATATATTTATATATAATTATTATTATTATTATTATTATTATAAATATATATATTATATCATTTCGTACCCTACCGTCTCCCTCACCGCTCTGATTTACCCGCACTCCAATGTGCGGTTATTTTTTAGATCGCCGAGTTCACGATGACCATAACGTTGATCCGGAAATCCTGAAGGGGCTCTGTCTTTGATCCCTTCTCCACTCCGATACTTATTGCAATCTATGGATTCTATGCCGGAAATCATCGAGATAAGTTCTGATGAGGATGAAGGCGCCGGCGTCGGCTTAAGGGTTCCGGAGGAGACCAAGGTGCAGCCCGGCGGGAAGAGAAAGGGAAAAGATGGCGGTGGCAACGACCTTAGGCCGGGAGGTTCACTTGATGAGTCGGATGACGACGACTGCTTGATTCTTGATGGGGTTCCGGAAAGTGTGGCGGTAGGCACGGAGTATGTGGAACTCGGCGGTGAGATGTTGGATGAGATGCTCATTGTAGGAGAAAAGGGCCAGGTAATAGCTGATGGAACTTTTCCTATTGGAATTGTGCGATTGTTTTAAGGTTATTGCACTCAACTGGTGTTTTTTGGTTGTGAACTGCATTGTGTGCCATGAATTTTCAGCTCAATTGGGGTTTTATTGTTCTTGAGGAGAAGTGGAATGCTTCAGTGCTCTTGAGTTAAATCACCCTTATCGCTTTTTTTTATCCTTATGCATAATGAATCTCTTTCATGTTTTATTATTAGTATTATTATTATTTTTCTTTTGTGCTAAAAGAAACACGATCTTTTTAAGAATTTTGGATTAAAAGAAATCACATAGGGTTGTCTATAATTTTTGGTTTTTAATGGACATGGTATTTTAGATTCTATAAACAAGAAAATGCGAAATATGGACAAATAAGATAAAATTTAGGCATTGAACAAAAAGGGGTAAAATCCATACATTGATACCTGATTTGTTTGCAACCCAAGCGTTCAATTGAGGCTTGCGGCAACCCAAGTATTGCTTCCTATGCCCTAATCTTGTCAAATTTCTATATAGGAGTACAAATGAGTCCAATCGATGAGCCATGCCTAGCCTGAGCTTAACTCATCTCGATTAATCAATCGCCAGCTTAGGTTCATACATAGATTGATTGATATCGGGCTTAGTTTAATCAAGCTCTGCCTCAATATTTTGAACTTAGATTGATCAAGGTTCGGCTTGAACTCAAGTAGATTGAGGTTATGTTCGAACATGAGTGGGCTCATTTTCTTTGAAAATCGAAAGGATGAGGATGAAATTGGAAATATTTATGAACTTATAATAGAGCTAAGAAATCTGAGAGAGATTAGACAATTGAAATTTCATTATTTTTTCCCATTCTTTTATAAAATATCAAAACTATAATATTATTAGAATTTAAGAAAAAAAATAAGCCAATTCACGAGCAGAGAAGACTTTAGGTTATTGACTTGACAAGTTGGCTGATAGGATTTAAACCTTGTGATGGGGATATGGTCATAGGCCCTCGCCCCTTGTCTAAGGATCTCTAATTGTACACTCATATGTGGGCTGATTACTTCTTACGTAATCATTGAATCTTCCCTATTCATTCAAAATGACAGCCATCAATTCTCCGTCGGGAAATCCATGCTAATTATCTTCCAGTCATCACGACTATGCCAGCCCAAATGGAGGTGTTATAACATCTTAACAATATTCTTCATAACCACCTTGCCACATTGATAATGTTGCATTGGATGCCAAACAGACACTCCTACAAGCAGCTCTTGTGACCAACTACTTCAACTTTGAGGGAGAGCAGAGATTTGGGTGCTCAAGTCGCCTCCATATGCTGGCTCTAAATGATGATTTGAACGGATTTTACATACTTCGAATAGGTTTTGCAATTGCACTCCTTCAAGCATGTATGATGTGTGTACTTCCTTCGTGTATATTGTATGTGCTCAAACTTGTGCTAGTTATTTTGCATTGGGTGTGAGGTTGCTTTTGCTTGATTGTGAGTGTTTGTGTGTCAATGTGCTCATGAGTTAAATGTGCAAGAGCGTGTATAGATGTTAGCCTGCATCCCTGTGAGCATTTACTTGTGTTGATTTTGTATTTTGGTGGACCATGTAGCATGAGGGCGGCTGCTTGTAGATTGTCGATTGCCTAATCCCAACCATTTGGGGTCACCAACTAGATTAAAAAGATGCTTTACAAATGATAGATTTCATTTTAACTCATTTGAGTAAATGAGTCAGGAAATTAAATCATCATTTTGGATGAATTTTGAAGGTGTTTGTAGTGTTTAAAACTTTTATTGATTTTCAACTGAAGACTTGACTATTTTGCAAGGACTCCTGAAGATATCTGTACCATTCTTTTTTTCTTAAAGCAAAAGCATTCCTATCCAGTATTTGCATGGTTACTACGGATTTCTTTCACTTAACGGTAACATGAATTAACCTTTGATGATTTTGAAGCCTATTTGATGTTTATTAGTGGTGAATTTATTCGGAAGGAGCTAGTTTTGAGTCTTGACAATTTAAAATGTCAGCTAAATATTATGTTGTATTGCACTCCGCAGGTTGTCAAAACTGCTGTTGTGATTGATGAAAATGTGAAATCCAATTCCTTTTCATTTTGGGTTGCCTGTTTTACTATCCATCATCTCTTGAAACTGTCTGCTTGGACGACTGAGATTTTTAATTAACTTTGTTAAAATTTATTGGCAAGACAAAACCTTTCAGTTTGTCTAAATTTAAGCTGGGTATGTCTAAAGGTTAATTGTGGTAGATAATTTGTTCATACTGTTGATGAAGTTATGAGCAAGATTATGGTATATCTCAGCCTTCAAGTGGAAGAGGAAAATAGGGTAATGATATACCATCAAAAAATTATCTTGATTGGGCACGAATCTCGAAGCAAAATCGAGTTGGAAACTTCCAAAATTACATTTAGAATCATATGCACTTTGATTTTTGCAACCTTACAGTCGGACTGAACGTCTCGGAAATACAAACTCATTGACACCAAATTCGACTCAATCCGAGCTTAAATGGGTCCAAATCGAAGACTCAAAGCATCTTTGGAAGGTTCAAAGCATAATTTGGATTACCAAACGGTTTCCAAACGTGACATGCTTATAGTCGAATCAAGCGGCTTGATGAGATGAATCCAACGAGCCCAAGATCGACGAATTCTGATATCATTAAGACATTCAAATGTCCAGTAAACGATCCATGATTAAGGGATTCAACATCGGCCGTCCATTCAAACCACTCTCAGTTTACCCTTGATCTTCCTCCTATTTACTTGCCATGCCACTATCAAAAAACTATAAATAGACCTTTCATTTCTTATGAAAAGGGGAGCAAGGAGGCTCAAGCAAAGAAGCAAGGAAGAGAAGAAGAAGGAATAGAAGGAAAAGAGCCCTCTTGCCACCAGAATCCTCCTCGACCACCATCGGACTTCAGCCCGGCCACCGACTGTTGTCGGACTTCCACCTAGCCGCTGACTAACATCTACCCGACACTAGACTTTCATCCATTGCCAGACTTCCGCTCCTCGCTAGACTTTTGCTAATCGTCGAACTTTCGTCGGATTTTTACCTAACAACAAACTTCCGCCCGTCGCCGCACTTTTGCTTGTTGTCGGACTTCTACCCGACGCAGAACTTCCGCCCATCGCCAGACTTATGCCCGTCATCGGACTTCTACCAGACGTGAAACTTCCACCCGTCGCCGGACTTCTGCCTATCACCGGAGTTTCGTCAAACTTTTACCTGATGCTGGACTTCCGCCAGTCACCATATTTCTACCTGATGCCGAACTTCTACCCGATGACAGACTTCCGTCGACTACGGTCCCTCCGACCTCCGTCACCAGATAACAATCTTTATGACATCTGTCTCCCGCCGACTATGATCCTTCCGACCTCCGTCGCCAGCTGACTACGGTCCTTTCAACCTCCATCGCCAGTCAACGATCCTTCCAACCTTCGTCACTAAACAGTGTTCTTTCCGACCTCTGTCGCCTAACAACTATAGTCCTTCCGACCAAACGAACACGTCAACAGTGATTCTTTCAATTTTCACCATGTAACACACTCTATATGATGTATATTTGTTACATCAAGCCAAGGCCTTCCCTCCAATGTAGGGCCTCATTTGTAATCGATTGCAAATACTAGTGGATTCATTCAAATTGGGCTAGACCTCATGGTTTTTACCCTTTTCAAGATGCCCACAAAACCTTGGTGTCTCTTATAAATATTGCACCCTCTCTCTTATCTGATTGTGTGTTGGATCTTTGTACAAAGCTAAGATGCTAAACTTTATACTTCTCTACCGTCGTGAATATTCCAAGATGCAACAGGTAAAAAATTCTTAATTGCAGCTGTATCAAAGTTTTGATTACCTTTTGTGTATTATTGCAGCAAGCGAAAGTTGGGTTTTGAATAGGTAGCTGAATACTTTTGTTTGAACTCCAACTCTTAATACCTGTTTCGAACCTGGAAAATGATAGCATGAAGCAACCAATATATTTTCAATGGCCTCTGTTAAACCATCAGCATCACTGAAAGAACTTGAAACAAGGCTTCTTGCCAATACCCGGTTTGCTTTGTACTTCAATATGATATTATGATACTTCATGACTTTCTCATCATGGTGCATTTTCCTTTTGTCTGTACATGATTTATGAAATCAATCTTCCTATGTCTTTCATTATTGTAGTGATTTTTCAATCATAGAACCAAATAAAAATATGTATATTCATTTCAAAGGAGAACACTATTAGTGATTCTAAGAAAATTTAGAGTGACATATCTACAATACTATATAAGTGTGGTTTGGGATTCCTGCCAAATGCAATCTTAGCCTTTCTTTTTATTTATCAAAGATGAATCCAAATCATTCATTTTATTTACACATTAAATTTATTTTTTAACTTGATCTATTTAATTAAATGCATGGTTTTAATTGCATTTAAGTAAAAGCTAAGTGTTGGAATGCAAAAGATTTTGATTGTATTTACTTCTATATTTAAATATAATTAATTAATATATTTATTTGCAATATATTTTTAATTTATACCTATCAGAGCAATTATTAATATAATTCATTAATTAATATTATTCAATAATATTTGTTAAAAATTAATAATAAAAAATTAAAGTATAATTTTTAATTAATTATTTTATTAAAGAATCTTTACATCTATAATACTATTATAAAAGCTATTTGAGTTTTACTCCCAAACAAAATTTTAGCCTTTCATTTTTATTATTCAAATAGAATCATGGCCTTTGATTTTATTATCTTATCATGATTAATTGATAATTTTAAAAATAATTAATATATTATTACTTTTCATAAGAGCAAAATTTTCATTTAAGCTTAATAAAAGAATAAATCGTTTAAATTCTTTAATACTTATTAGTCTTCTTTAATTAAATATCCCTTTGTATTCCGCTCTTCGTATCCCCTAAATAAATGAAGAAATCATTTAAATGTATTACTTCTTAGTATTTCTTCATATTAATTAAATACCCATTTATACTAAAAAAACCCATTTATACTCTGCTATTTGTATTCCCTACTGTTCCTAAACTAAATCTCAACAGTAAAAATAAAAATGACAAAAATATTGCCCGTTCATTCCATCGCAACCCTTGGGATTCCTACGTGCACCCTTACTGTTCTCTCATATTTATATAATTTGTGCACTCAAAATTATCGTAAACTCCTTCCTCTCGCTTACGAAGTCCCTCGTGAGAAACAAACCCAGCAGCTCGGTCCCGATAGTTGTTTTTTATCAGCCTTCACGTTGCAATTATGTAGCCCTCACTCCACCATCTCATATCTCCTCCCATAAACTCTCCACACAGCATTATCGTTGTTGCTTCAGTCTATGCTAGATTATTATTTAGCCAAAAGTTTAAATCCTTTCCTAATGTCTGATTATGTAACTGGCATGTTTTTGCTCTTTCTCCTATTCTTCTTTATCTGTTTCTTCTATTTTCTGATATGATTTCTCTTTGAAATTGTTAATAGTTGCTCCTCCTGCTCGTTCCTCCTTTCACCCTTACAGAGGTTAGCAAGTAATCATGATTTCAGTAATAAAAATTTCATTTCTTCTACTATTGATTTCATTTGGAGAAAGTTTCTAACAACTCACAAAAAAATAATTTTCTCTATTTTTTATCTTTACATAGGAATCGTGACTATGACTTATGGGCTAGAGGTAATGCACATTTCTCCCATTGATAAGACTGAACAAATGCTAATTTTTGTTTTATTGAGGTTTTCCTTTTCTCAAAAGGAAGCTAATGCTCTTTTTCTAACGTCTACTAAAATTCAGGGATACATGACCCATCAATATTTTGAGGGCCGTAAGGGCATAATCAAGTTTGGAGTTGTTCAGGTCTGTTCTATGACCATTAGAAAACTAAAGTAAAAAAATAAAATAATAATAATAAAGTTATGAATTTACATCCCGACTATATGTGAGATTATTGATGTATTTTTCTATATTTTTTCAATATTTTCTCTTCAGTGGATGACCGTAAAAAGAGGAATCGTTCATGCTGGAAAGCCAATCGGCGACAACAACAACAACAACAACAACATCAAGCCTTTGTCTCACTACGTGGGGTCGGCTACATGAATCCTTTTTCACCATTGTGTCATATTAAAAGTCAAATTCTCATTTAAATCAAATAAAGAAATATCATTTCTAATATTTTCTAATCAAATCTTTTTAGGTCTACGTCTACCTTTCTTAACATAAGTGAAATCTATTTTTTTTTTATCTCACATCTGAATTTTGATACTTATTTATACAATTCCTAAATACTAAAATAATTTTAAAATTATTCTTAAACCTAACTTTTGGATGTCTCTTAATATAAAATAAATAAATGAGATAGAATTATCACTCAATCTCAAAATTATTGTTATTAATTATTTAACTATAAATATTTATTATTTGGCTAATACAATTCAATAGCTTTCAATTATATATGAATTAATAATATGGTTATAAAAAATAATGAATACTTTTCTCATAACTGATAATATAAAATAACTTTTTTTTTTCATGTAGGTTTTTAATTGCTTTGTAATGTGTTGCGTTTGTAAACAATTTGCATGTTTTTTATCGTCTAATTTGATGCAATTGTTAACCTATTTATTATTGTAGCAAATGAAGTAGATTATTTATTTATTTATTTATTATTATTTTTTGCAGCAATACATTTTTAATTGAAGAAAAATAGGTTATATTAATTTTTTAATTGGCAATATAATAAGTAACTATTTTGACTCATAAATTACCTATTGAAAAAGTAAGGGTGAGATAGTTGAAGATTAAGATCAAAAGGAAAACATATTATGATAATTTTAATTAATTTATTTGTTATATGTTATGTTCTTATAAATTTGTTATCCCCAAATTTGTGTGATAGGATTGTGAAATAAATTCATGCATTCAAGCTTTAATTATTAATTCATATAAATAAAAAAATCATATTTTTATAAGATTATTTTTTATTTGTACAATTTTATTCATGTGTACTTTGTTCATAATGATTTACGAGCACAGATTTAACACAACAGCAATAAATAAGGATTCGAAATGTTGACTTCAAATAATTGAGATAAGATTGATGATGGTGATGATGATGATGGTTGCTGTTCAAAAGATGTTCTTCCATTTGTAATTAATATTCATTCTTCTCTGTTACCATGCAGTTTGCCTGCAGGGATTATCCACACCCTCGCTATCTATGTGCTACATTCTTGTTCAGCATGACTCCACACAGAAAGCATTGTGACATGGTTAGGTCCTTCACCTACATTCCCTGCAAAACATTCTCATCCTTTTTTTCCTATGCGAAATGAATCTCATTATCTTCTCCGTAGCGGAAAATTATTACGTGCGGCGTCCGGCGTCCAGATTCGCCTCCGGACGGTCCGGACACCGCACATAATAAACTCTTCTCCGTAGCACAGTTCTTCGCTTCTCAAGGTTTGATTTTTCTTGTCCTGTTTTATCTTTTTTACTGCTGGATGCTTAAAATTGCAGTGCCACTGCTATGTTTGTGACTGCCCGGCTCCATGCATCTACTGGGCAAACCATTGCAGTTCAACTCATAAGGAACAGTCCTGGAGAGTTGAACGGCAATTATTCAGGAGAAGAAAGAGAGACCAACAGCTCTCACATCGGCGTTTCGATCTTAAACCCGCATTTGCCAGCCTGAATCGACCTGTTCCAAAATTGGCACCATCCTTTTCGTCCCCAAATGCTAAAGCTGTACAACGTTTTCATGTCAAAACTTCCGTAGCTCGCCCGAATCCACTAGTTTCAAAGCCGTCGCCGTCGCCGCCCTTATTGCCAAATGAACCTATACAACTTGCTCAGGCAACCAGATGTAGGGAACCACCCCATGTCTCTCAAGAAATAGGTGCCTCCCGCCCGAAAGACATACTATGCGAGATTTACAAGAATTGTCCGACGGTTATCTCTTGTCGCCGGAGAATACCCCCACCTCTTCAACCTGCTGAACTATCAGATACCGATCAAGATGGCTGAAGTTAGAAAGTTGAACATCAATTTCTCCATTGTATGAGCCACTGCATTATCAGGATTGATATCAGAGAAATAACTACTCCAGAAGATTTTGATCAGTGCAGTCAATAATTGCTGCCGGAGATGGCTCCAGCAAGCTTTTAAGCTGATGTAAGAACCATCTGTGGCTCATCGCCTTTATGGAATCTGGACTACAATCAATCTAATTCAGCTGAAATCTCACTTAAATTCTATATTTGTGGGCACTAGATTTATAAAATGTTTAAGGCTTCGTTTGGGACGACTTTTTTATTGCTTCTTAAAGCAGCTTTCTAGTATAAAAATTTTAATTTATGTATTAAGAAGCTGCTTTAAGAAGCAGAAAAAAAACCGTCACAAACAAAGCCTAAATCAACTGGAGAGTCGTTATGATTGTAAAGTGGTAGCTTTTCTCTGGTAGATTAGGGTATGTGTTAAGTGGCTCTTTGTGAAGCTTTTCAGTAGTTCAGAAGATTGTATAGTTTGTGTTGTTGTAAAATTATTATCAATCTTGAAAATCTGGTTTTTGTTACCTTTGTTTGGTTTGTAGGCTGCCTTAGCTTTGTTTTTTAAATATTTGTTGCTTCTATATCATATTAAGATTTCGTTTGGGGTGATTTTCTTATTGTTTATTAAAGTAGTTTTTTAGTACAAATTTTTTAATTTTTATACTTTATACTATAAAGTTGTTTTAAAAAGCAGGAATTAAGCTGTCCCAAACAAAGCCTAAAGTTTGTTTTAAGATAATTTTTTAAATCAGTTTTTTAGTATAAAAATTTTTAGTTCAATAAATTTTTTAGTAAAAAGTTGTTTTAGAAAGCAATAAAAAAATTGTCCCGAACAAAACTTAAAGCTTAAGTTATGAATGAAAATGGTATCATATTAAGAATTTGTTTAGTTTGATTAGATTTTAAATTATGATTAAAGTTAAATAATGAATGTTTTAGGGATGTTATGATGATGATCAAGGCTTAATAATGTTTAATTATGGTAATTAAGTATATGATGATTATTTAATCAAGTAATCACTTATTCATAAGTAAATATTTATTATGGTTAATTATGAATTAGTCATTTTTAAAATTAAGATCATTATGATTTAGCTGTACTTTTTTTATTTACTCAAGATAGGTTGTTAAAACATTAAATAAATTTAATTTAAATAGATAAATCTATACAACAACAACATCATCAAGCCTTTGTTCCACTATGTGGGGTCGACTACATGAATCATTTTTCTTCATTGTGTCATGTTAAAAGTCAAATGCTCGTTTAAATCTAATAAAAAATATCATTTCTAATATTTTCTAACCAACTTTTTATGTCTACCTCTACATTTTTTAACATAAGTCAAATCTAATTCCTCTATTTTCCTAATCGGGACATCGAAATGCCCTCATTTTATGTGATCAAACCATCTAAGGCGACTCTCTCTAATCTCATCTTCCATTGGAGCTACTCCAACCTTTTCACGTATATGTTCATTTCATATCCTATCTCTAAGGGTAAAGTAACTCATCCACCTGAGCATCCTCGTCTCTGCAACACTTAACATAATATTATGTTTCTCTTTTAATGGCCAACATTCGGCACCATAAAACATTGCAAGTCTCACCACCATCTTTTAAAATTTTCCCTTAATGTTGAGGGAGACTTTTCTATCACACAACAAGGCTGATGGATTCCTCTACTTCAACCATCTAACTTGAATTATGCTGATAGTATCGTCATCTATTTCACCATCATTCTGAACAATAAATCCAAGATATCTACAACGTGTACTCTTATTAATGACTTGATCGCTCAAAGTCATAATCCCCTCACTAGGTCTATTACTACTAAAATTACACTTCATATATTCATTTTAGATCTACTCAAAACGAAAAACTATTATACATTAAAGTTGTCCTCCATAATTCAAGTTTACCTTCAACTTCCTCTCTAGTCTTATCAACAAAAAGAATATCAGCAAAAAACATACACCAAGATACATCCTCTTACAAATGTCTAAAATAGGTAAATCTATAATTAATTAAATTATAGTCAATTTAACAACTTACTAATTAACTTGAAATCATAATTCAGATTTATTAAGACTGATTTTTTTAATCTTGAATTACAAACATATTTCATAAATTTTGTAAATAAAAAAAATAAGTCTGTCATTCAAATATATAGTTATTTTAAATAAAATTAATTCAAAATCAAAATGAAATTCAAACAAGAAACAAATATTGAGGTTATTACATTAGAATAGACTTTTAATATTGTCTTCATTTGAGGTAATATTTTCACTGTTTCATTTTTCAAATAATTATGATTTTTTTTGTTTAATCATTATATTTTATTATTAATATAATTTTGAAGTTTTATTATTCATTTCCAAAATATAACTCTTATGGTTCATCATAAATCATTTTAAGTCCATTGTTTAAAATTATTTTTTAGTCTAAATTATGAATGCAATTATTAAAATCATATATTTATATACTATAACTTTGTATATAGTTAGTAAATTAATAATTTCGATTATTTATAAATTGAAAAAAAATATTGATGCGTCATGCAAAAATTAGCTTAATCGGGCACGAATCTCGAGGCAAAAGGCTAGTTGGAAACTTCAAATTTTAATTTCGGGAGCATCCGAACTCCGATTTCAGCGAGCTTACAGTCAAACTGAGCGTCTCGGAAATACGAACCCAACGACACCAAGATCAACCCAATCCGAGCCCAAATGAGTCCGAATCAAGAGCTCAAAGTGCTGTCGGAAGGTTCAAACAGAAATTTGAGTTACCAAACGGTCTCGCGAATACTCCAGGACGCAACAAATATGATCAATCATAATATTTTAGGTTAAGAAAAAAAATTTAATTAAGCTTACCTAACAGGCTAACATGAAGAAAGAAATACAGAATTTAGCAGAAACTAGAAAGGCGCTTTGGCGTGAAGGGTCTCGGCACGGAATTTTTATTAGGTCTGGTGTCCTGACGTAGCTCTACGTTCAGACGTCAGTAAAGTGATGCCACATGCTCTTACTCTTTACAGTGCGGCCCGACAACCCAACCCGGACCGGACCCGAGATTGCTATGTATTGGCTGATTTGTACAGACCGGGGTATTGCTAGGTACTGCTTGATATTACTCGGCAATAACGAGAAATACAATTATGTCAAGACCAATACATAGCAATACCGAGCAATATCGAGCAATATCCCGATTTTGCTAGGTATTGCTCGGTATTACTCGGTATTGTTCGGTATTGCTATGTATTGATCTTGACAGAGCCTCTCGTTATTGTCAAGTAATACCTAACAACACCTAGCAATATCCGAACATAACAATACTGGTGTCCGATCCGGGTCCGGATCGGATCGACGGCCGCACTATAAAGAACAAGAGGAAGTGGCTACATGTTATTGGATGCAGAGCTACTTGCAGTGTCCATACCTAATAATTATTCGCACGAAGGCCTCGCCCTTCTCTGGCCATTTTCCTAGTTCGCGAGAGCTACGGGCAGGGAAGATGGATTTGGCCTCATCGGCGGGGATAGCGCGGCAGACGTGGGAACTTGAGAACAACATCGTCGCCATAGATTCTCCGGCGGAGTCGGACACGATCTACTACTACGATGAGGTTGCGCAGGCCAAGATCCAGCAAGAGAAGCCGTGGCAACATGACCCTAATTTCTTTCGACGAGTTAAAATATCCGCCCTCGCCCTGCTTAAGATGGTAGTCCATGCCCGCTCTGGCGGCACCATTGAGGTCATGGGACTGATGCAGGGTAAGATCGAGGGCGACACCTTCGTCGTCATGGATGCATTTGCGCTTCCCGTTGAGGGCACCGAGACTCGGGTCAATGCTCAGGCTGACGCGTACGAGTATATGGTCGATTATTCCCAGACCAACAAAAGGGTAATCCTAACCCTAAGCCCAAATTTGCTAAATATTTCTTTTAAGGAAACCGCAATTAGAATTCATGTAAGAGCACTTTTATTATTATTATTTTTTTGTTTTTCTTATGTATATTATCTCATTGCCATGAGATTTTGTGAGGCTCTTTGATTTCAATGTTTGTAAACTCGTTCCGTGATGCAAAACCCTTTTGCTGATTCCGTTGTTTGAGCTTTCAATTCCCATAGGTTGAAATTGTGTCAGGTAAAAACACTAATGCTTCTCAATTGCCATATGCTGTTATGTTACCAAACATGGTTTATGCCATAGCAATGATAAGCTGTTTTCTATCTCTTCTTGGTATTAGGGTTTGTTTTATACCTACTTTGTCAGGTAAAAACACTAATTGTCAGTTAATCCTTGTCAAAATCGGGCTTATTTTGCTGCTTCTTTTGAAACAGGTTGGGAGGCTGGAAAATGTGGTGGGGTGGTACCATTCACACCCTGGCTACGGATGCTGGCTCTCAGGTATAGATGTATCAACGCAGATGACGAATCAAAAATACCAAGAGCCATTCTTAGCTGTTGTAATTGACCCCACGAGGACTGTATCAGCTGGGAAGGTTGAGATTGGGGCCTTCAGGGCTTATCCTGAGGGCTATAAGCCACCTGATGAGCCTGTATCAGAGTACCAAACTATTCCTCTCAACAAGATAGAGGACTTTGGGGTCCATTGCAAGCAGGTTGAGATGTTGAGTGCATGACTTCTATTCCCTCTTTGCAACATTTATGTACTTTTAACTTATGAATGGTATATTGTCTTGGTGTAGTATTATGCATTGGATATAACTTACTTCAAGTCATCTCTGGATGGTCACCTCTTGGATTTACTTTGGAACAAGTATTGGGTAAACACATTATCATCATCCTCAATCTTAGGCAACAGAGACTATGTTGCAGGACAGATTTCTGATTTAGGTTGATCACATACTTTTTCTCCATGTTTTAATGATTGCATATATTGTTGGATTTTTTTTTTTTTGCTTGAAATTGGGAAATTGTCATGCGGCGCCATGGAAATTAACAAACACAGCAGTGCATATTCTTTTGAGTCTTTCTCGTGGTATTTGTAACTTTTGGTTTCATTGTGAATTTTATTTCCTTGTTGTAGCTGAGAAGTTGGAACAGGCAGAGAATCAATTAGCCCATACGCGATTGGGGTCCTTTTTTGTACCTTCCCAAAAGAAGAAAGAGGTTAGAATTCTTATGTTTTCCGTTGTTTTTTTATCAGTTGATATTTTGTAATGGATAGCAATGTTCATATGCAGAAGTTATTCTCAAGAACAAATAATTTTGATTTTCGGGAATTATAGGTTTCATGTGAAAATTTAATAAAGCCGTTTTTTGTGCATGTTTATACAATATGTTGAGTATTTGTAGGTTTGACTATTTGGCATCAGATCTGTCTATAACAAAAAATGGCTTTAATTATAGCTCATAGCATATGAAGGTGCACCTCCTTATATGCCAGCCTTACCTCTTCTTGATTTTGCTTCTATCTTGCAACCCCACCATATAAGTATCTCAATATAGCCATTGAGCTGATTTTATTTTTGATTTTTTTAATAAAAAAGTTTACAATTTGGATCATAGCATGAGAAACTAAGAATGATTAGTGTTATGAATATGCAAATAAGTTGTACTATACATGGTTTTATGTAAGTTATATCAACCTCTCACTTTTAATGAATATAAGGGAATAATTTAGTGTTCAAACAACAATCATGCATACATTGTTTGATTATTGACTAAAATTAAACTTCGATCTATTAAAATAAACCTTTAAACCTACCTTGAAGTGAGTATAGGCTAAAGGAGAGTTCGTCCTTGTTTTTGGGGTTCTTCGGTCTGGTTTAGTGTTGTTTTCTTACGGGCAATAACATATTGAGAATGCCATTATCTTCTTAAATCTTGTTTGGAGATTACTATGATATGCACCAACTAATGATTGTTTGCATAAACCTAGAAGTTGATGCAAGTTTGTTGTCTCTAGTACCTAATTAGAAGGGTGTTCCCTGCAGCTTAACAACCCAGTGAACTATCATCACAGACTAGTCTTAACTTTGTGATATTTACTGTTAATGAGTTCAAATTGATAATAAACAGCATTCTGAATCTTGTGTTAGCTTTTTGAACATCCTATGGTGATTTGCAAAATCATAAAATTTTAAGAGAATAATATCTATAGCTTACCATTTAATTAAAATTTATCGATTTTGAGGTTTTTGAAAGATGGGTCTTGATAGTGAATAATTGTGGCTTAGTTCATGTTCCCTTGTGGAACCTTGCAGCATTATGGCAGAACTTGAACTTCAGATTTGCAATTTGATATAGTTTGAAATATTGTATTTATTGCTCATTTTTTTGGAGAACAGAGTTTGGATTCATGCACCCTCAAGTTTTCGGTGGTATGATGCATAAGAATTTAAGAGAAAAAATCTATAGCTTACCATTTAAATAAAATTCATCGATTTTGAGGTTTCTGAAAGATGACTCTTGATAGTGAATAGATTGTGGCTTAGCCCATGTTCCCTTGTAGATCCTTGCAGCATTATTATAGAACTTGAACTTTAGATTCTTGCAATTTGATATAGCTCAAAAGATTTGGACAATTTCATGGGCAATTTCCTACCATTATTACACGAATTCTTGCAATTTTATTTATTTTTTTTTTTAATTGTTGGGCATATTTATTTGAAGCCAAGTGTGCCTCTAAAACAACCTTCTCTCTAATTCGATGTGATACAAATAAAAAAGAAGGTATTTTCAATGTCCTTTGCTATCCCCACATTCCAAACAAAGCACTTGATACATTTAAAACGACTGACCAAATTGTTGCTGAAATAAAGCTCAAAAACGGCGAAAGGGCACAAGCTCCAAAAGACAAACTCAAAACAAGTTTTCTTCAACATTCTTCTAAACCCAACTTCTAGAAACAAACACTAGTAAAAGAAAGCTAATTCAAATAAGAAAGGTCATTCGTTTCTGTGGGTCTCCGAAAGAGACCCTGCTACACAAGGAAGTTTATTTTATGACTTGTTTACCAAATGAAGAGCTGACGCCATGGCCGAGTAAAAGCTTTCTTTTATCTTGTTATGGATTGTTTTCTATGGTTTGATTATCTCTCATGGAAGCTGCTCACATATGGTGTTCCAAAATTGCCAATTTTGTTGGAATGTTGTTGTTTTTGTGAATGGTTTTTTTACTGCTTTTTGAAGCAGCTTTTAAGTAAAAAAAATTAACTTTTGTACTAAAATCCTGATTTAAGAAGCTGGAAAACTTTTGTACTAAAAAATTGCACGAAGCCTTAACAGCACGCAATTGCCTTTCTTAATCGTGTAGATTAGTGTCAGTTTTATCTAGAAATTGTTTAAAATTTGGTTCAGTTTGATTTAAATTATGATTATCTTATTGTTATTGATTGAGCTTACCATGCTTACAGTGTAAATACCTTCTTATAATTGACATTTTTAATTTTAATTGGAAATTTAAAAATAGCTCAGGAATAATGTTTATAATTAGCTGTTTTTCTATGCCGTTAGGTTTGTCAGCGTGACTATTAATGATTGAATATCAATCAACATTAAAAACTGATTTCTCGTTTTTTTTATGCTAATTAACATAAATTCATAAACATATCAAATAGATAAGACTCGAATAAAAAATCTCTTAATTAGTTAAAAAGCCTAAAAAAATTCATATGTATCAACCAAGATGATTGTCATCTAATCCTTCTCACAATCGAAGCGGTTGTTTGGTAGCAAGATTTATGACGGATTTGAGCAAAATCAGCCAAATGGCCTAAAATGTAAAACCAAATCTCACGATAAATGAAAGCCGTCTTACACGAAAAATTACCCCTTTTTCACGATAAGTCCAGTATTTTTGAAATCCTCTGATTCGGCGGATTTAATGTTATGTTGGCACAAGATGGAAGAATATTTAATATAGCCAAAAATTCACACATTATTTAACAATTTTTAAGTATATATTATTTGATCTTTTTTAATATCCATAATATTTACAGTAATTTTTAAAATATTTTAACAATTTGTTACAACTACAAATAGCTTGTATCCATAAAAAACTTTTAAAAAATCTAAGATTCTTAACAAACATTATCCATTAATTAATCTGCAACTGAAAAATACCCTTTCCAACCTTATAAAGACCGTTGACCTCTTCCTATTAAAGCATGTGGTAATAAGTTCAAAAGGTCACCCACCATAGCTCAGTTTAATTGGTGGGCGAGTGCGATTGTATACCTCCCAACCCGTGCTCCAATACCCTCGAGTAGCATCGCCTCTTAAATGGAACCCAATCAAGTGCGGGCCAGGAGATCAGCCGAGGGATTAGTTACGCCGCCAAGCGCCTCCTAAGAGGATGACGGCAAATAGATACCCCCATTCCCCCCCAAGAAAAAATGATCTAAAAACAACAATAGTTTTTTCTTCAATTTTGGAGGTCAGAAGTAATGTATCAATTCTTTATAATATGCACAACTATTGCGTTATAGAAATAACACAAGCGACAGATTATATCCATAGCCTTCTCTGCAGGCAAACAACTAACATTCTGGTATTAGCTGGTGTTCAATTATGGGCATTATTTATTCCATGAAGATCTGGTGATCACATGTTTGTTAAAGTAGAATGAAATTTCTGCGTCGCGAGTAGTTAAAATCAGCCTGTTGGTTTGCCTGCAAGAAAGGCAAAAGTTGTCAGAGTTATTCAAAATGCTTGCATCATTAAGATTTCGTTTGGGTCGACTTTTTTGTTGCTTCTTAAAGCAATTTTTTAGCATAAAAATTTTAATTTTTTATTAAAAAACTGCTTTAAGAAACAGTAAAAAAGCCGTCCCAAACGAAACCTAAGTTGATTATAAGTTTCTCTTTTGATTGCCTACTTTGAGCAGGAGCTCGTTGAGAGCTGCGAGAGCGAAAAGAGTTGTAGGCAAGGTCATTCAGATCCTGCAATGGTGTAAGGTTCTTGACAACAACATCCATGGAAGGGCGAGTTTTTGAATCCCTGCTAAGACAGTAGCTGGCAATCTGGGCAACTTTTTGAACACCTTTAATTGAATAGTTCAGCTCCAGGCGGGGATCCACAAGGTGCAAAAGCCTCCTTTTATCTCCCAGATTTGGCCGGGCCCAAGCAACAAGATTTTGCTCACCGTGTGGCCTCTTCTTGTCTATGGATCTTCGGCCGGTCAGAATTTCAAGCAGCACAACACCGAAACTGTACACATCGCTTTTTGATGTTAGGTGTCCTGAAAAGAAAAGAAGAAGAAGAAGAAGAAATATAGCAGTTTCAGTCTGGCAAGTATGAAGAAGTATGGTAACAGATCTAACTTCATATACTCGACAACTATTCTTGAAGCAGATAATGACTATATTGTCTTAGTCATTCCAACTAAATTGGAATTTTGAATTCTATCATAGCAATCCGCGAAAGAAAAGAAATGGTTGTGTTAGACTTCATTTAGGACCGCTTTCTTACTGCTTTCTAAAGTAGCTTCTTGGTACAAAAATTTCTAGTTCAAGAAATTATTTTACTAAGAAGCCGTTTTAGAAAGCAATAAAAAAGCTGTCCCAAACGAAACCTTAATCATACATGAAAATTTGCAGGTTTTTCAGGCCACAAATGTTTTGTTTCACAAGCTGGGTTAACGGGAGAGAATTTAAGGGAGAATAAGAAAGAAGTCATGGAACAAAACAAAATCAATGCTCTTCTTTAAAAACTACTTCTAAAATTGTTGCAAAACTCCCTTAATGGTTGATTATCATCTAAAAAAGGATTTCAAGCTGTATCTATCAAAGCTCAAGAACAATGGCACAATCATGGGCTTTCCAATGTAGATTATGTTACTCCCCAGTACCTATTTGCATCAGAGGTAGTGATGTGGTTATGCGAGGTGCACGTGTTGTTTCTTTTCATTGTGAGGATGCATCTATTGTCTTTTCATTGTGTAGGAGTTCTAGAGTCATATATATGCTGTACTATGTCGGCTTACAAAAATTTTCTCTGGAGATCGGACAGCGGCCTGACGGTAGATCTTCCTCCCGCTCTCATCGGGGCTCGAATCCTCTAATCTGCCCCCCAAAAAACAATTTCTTGGAAAGTTGGATTTCTTCTTAGCAATACTCAAGGTAGTTCACCTGCAGGTCGCAAATTCCAATTTGTTGTAGTGGTTCTTCTATTACGCCTTGCTTAGACAGGCTTGTTGGTTTTGTTATTCTTCCTTATCTTTGGTTCTCTTCTGTGCATGACTTCTGTCCATATGTAGTGCGTTGTATGCGATTCAGTGAGGAGGATATATACGTTTTCTCTCTTTCTACCACCATTTTGAATAAATTTTTTTTGATATAATTTAACTTTGAAATATCTGGAATTAAACCGGGTTAATTTTGTGCTAATCATATATGGAAATCCATAAATAAATAGTTCGAGTATGTAATTGAACAGCTTTGACTTAATAAATTTTCTTACTAAAATTTATATCTTGTGTGTAGGTTAGATGTATAATTTCCTCAAGTATGGTAGAACTGTGACTGCCTAATTTCAGGGAAAATCATCTCTTTGCACTGATGTGAGACCTAAATTTCTATTACTTCCAAGAATTCTATCATTTACCAAATTTCTTCTAGATAACTTGTTATTAACTTGCTAGTATTTTTTATTTCATTCAAATTTGATACAATTGAGATAAATAAATTACAATTACTAGTTAATTTTGTGAGATTCAAATTTCTAATTTATTTAATCATTTAATTATCATTTTGGTTCTAATTTTTTGAATGCACTGATTTACATCTAAAGAAAGTTTGTCAATTGAATTTTCTTTGATTTACGAATCCTAAGAAAACACCAATTCTAAACCGCTCTGCATCAAATATAGACAAATCATAGCCATCTAAACTTCTAGGAAGATTAAGATTTCACGCAGGAGTAGAAAATGACCCAGCCTGAAATGCATTAGTTCCTGTTGTATAAAGCCTCTATTCAGCAGAAAAAAAATATATAAAAAAAAGCCTCTATTCAGCAGGATCAGAATAAACAAAAATGCTATTTTATTCCTGAACTAATTGCAGAATTGTAGATTATGTAATAGTTTTCAAGAATAGTAACACTATTAACATAAATCTCAAACTAAACTTCCTATGGTATATGCTGGAAATAATAGACGGATGGGGATAAAAAAATTGTGATATTGTGAGTGTAGTGCCCATCCATCTTGCTAAACTACTCTGGCAATTTTCCCCCAAGTCTATTCAGTCTTCATTGAAAGTCCTAAAAGATTCTGCTTCTAGTAAGCTCTATCTCAACCATGCGTGAGCAGTATTCATGCAGATTGTTTTAGATGGGTGGATCATTAGAGTTAGGCTTCATTTGGGACGGCTTTTTTACTGCTTTTTAAAACAGCTTTCTAATACAAAAATTTTAAATTTTTACTAAAAAGTTATTTTAAGAAGCAATGAAAAAGCCGTCCCAAATGAAGCTTTAGAGATTCTATGCAAGGCTGGAACTTTTATATACTGTTAATATGAGTTTGTATTTGTACCAGTCATGATGTACTCCGGTGCAGCATAACCATATGTACCAACAACTCTAGTTGATACGTGAGTCTTATCTCCTTGGGGTCCAGCTTTGGCCAGTCCAAAGTCAGAAAGCTTTGCATTGTACTCCTATAAAAAAGATAAAATATTTATATGTATGTAGGACTGTGTTTGTTTAAGAAACCAATATCGCAAGTTGTAGGACGAACCATATCTAGAAGAATATTAGATGTCTTGAAATCTCTGTAGATAACAGGCTTTGCATTACCATGAAGAAAGGCTAACCCTTTAGCAGCCCCAATAGCAATCTTAATCCTGTTGGACCATGGAAGAGGAAAAGACCCTTCAAAAGCCATTAAGATCAGTCAGAATAATTGACTTCAATAATTTTTAATCATATAACAAGTAAAACTTAAACATGGGACATCATATCAAAAGGTTAGCATTTTAATGCAATACAAAACAAAAGCAAAACATTCATGTAGAAGATTTATGGTGGTTGTGCTCGTATAGTAGGAAGTGATTTTTGTTAATGCCATTAGTCCAAATGTATTATACATTTGAGACAAATATTGTAAGTCCCAAGTTAGATAAAAAATGTTGAAAATTATGTTTAGGTTCACAACCAATTATAAAATTTATCCCAAAACTAATGAAAAGAATCCCAATTTAAAATTTATTAATTCTAAAGCATTCACCAAAAACAATGGCACAATCTAACATGATTGTGATGATAAGTAGGTCTGATCTTGTTAGGATCAGCTATAAGTGGCATGCTATAGCTTAATCTGATTATGATGAAAAGTAAGCAAACGTTAGCTAGTATATCAATTGCAGATGACATGATACAATTTAACATTTTAACCTGATTTTGGTGAAAAGTAGGCAAGAGATAGCTGACATCACTGCTAGCGACCTATTAAAACTTAACCCAATCATAGTAAACAAAGGGTTGAACAAGCCTAAAATTAAGATTAGATTGACTAATTCTAAAATTAAGATTATATCTCTTGCAATGAATAAAGAACTTTGAATGAAAAGTAAAGAGAATTGGTGAAAAAATGATTGGAAGAATATAAATTGCAATTTTGTAGTAAAATTCAATGATATTGAGAAATATTATAATTTATTGTATCTTGGGAAGTCCAATGAAAATGACATTCGAATAACAGTGGATATAAATTTGAATATAATTTTATTTAGAAAAACAAGACTAATAATAAAAAGAATATTATTAAGATAATTATCAGTTATGATATCTGATGCACTATAAAAAAATTTGTAGGGGTAAGCATTTTAGTTATACCCTAAAGCCTAATTCTAATCCCCCTTTTTTATACCAGTTGTGGTTTGAGAGCAAGTGATCGAGCAAATAACGAAGAGGCCGCTATTGAGAGTACAAACTTCTCCCAGTTGCAAGCAAAAGGTAGTGAGCATCCGAGTACTTGGGCTTCTTCTTCCTGCACAAAGGAAGTTGCAAGCAAAAGGAGCTGAGCATCTGAGGGCTTCAAAGATCGCAATTCTCTTCCTTAGGTTTACTTATTCTTGGAGATTGGGTGAGATGAATTCTTCTCTTTTGCTACAAAAATTTCGTAAGATTTTCTCAACACTTCTCTCTTCATTATTTATAAAAATAGGATTTGATCTATCTATTTAGATAATCTTTTAATTTGTACTCCATGCATTTGATAGTGATTTATTAGTGCCTCATAACCTAGTATATATAGGTCATTCTTGACCAAATCATTTAAATCTTGGTATTCTTATCCCTATTATAATTGTTTTATTTTTTCTACATCATATCTGTGATATTAGTTTTATTTCTCCAAGAATAATTTGGTTGATATCTTGGGCTCCCTTAAAAAGTTGTTTTTGCCATTTTATTTGTGACAAAATTGTATCACAGCAATCGAGTTGAACCATGGGGAATCCTTCTACCAGCATTATCACATACTGGTTTACGAAATGCAATAAAAACAATGATTTTAACATCTAAAAGATAAAAATAGAGTATATTTGCCTAAGAAGAGTTTTGCTTAAGGTTTTAAAGTGGAAGGATTTCCTAACTGGTCAAATAAGGAGGAGATTGATCAAAAAGTCAAGTTGATAATTCTCAATTCTAATTCCTACATGAGGTGATATGTAAAATAAATTAGTGCCTGTTCTATGTTTCAAAAGACAAAGACACGAGACATTCTCATAGCCAAGCCACCCGTTACATGATCATTGTATATCACCTAATGTCCTTTACCTAAGCTACTTCCCTCAGTAACAAGTTTACACCATACATTTAACTAGAAGCAATATAGAACCAACATAATTTATTTAAAATTGTTTTTGTAATGAAACTTCATGAATTGCAAGTCATCTTTTCTTTGAAAAATAAAGGAAAATAATAGGACCAAGTTCAGTATGAAGTAAAAGTTTATAGACCTAGTTCAATCTAAAAATCAAGGAATGCTAATCTCTGCATTCTATTGCATTGACGTAATTTTTAAATGAAATCGCACAATAATTTATGAACTTCAATTAAGATCTATAATTACACTAACTAGAGATAAAAAAGCTGTAGTGCGGTTTTAATGTTTAAATTCCATCTAATTTTTAGTCGTATCAAATAAAAAAAAAAGCTGCTTAGTGTTTATGGTTCGGTTTCTTTAGCTTCAAGTAGCAGCAAAATCAAAAACAGCAATAGTGCAACATCACAAGAGAGTAACATAGCATCACATCAATAAGCATTTGAATACTAGGTCCTAGCTGAAGATTTTATAGACTTTGTTCCTGCCAAATCAAATGAAGATAGCATGTGGCAGAAATGCAAGAGCAGTAAAGAAAGTTCCAAGGAAGTGGAGCAGTAAGCAAATCCAAAAATTAATTTAATGTTCCAATTTAATTCAACATAAAATTGGTGTCCAAGATTTTATACTCAAATTCTTCCTAAGATTAGGGAATCAACAAACACCTTACATACTTCGGAAAAGATGATTTTCAAGACTTCCTCGGGGCATAAATTCATAAACAAGAAGCCTTTGGTCATCTTCAATGCAGGATCCTATGAGTTTAACGAGATTAGGATGATGTAGCTGTCCAAGGAAATCAATTTCAGCCTGCAGTCAAGAAAAGAAAGAAAATGTTGGTTATTTAAAGGTCAGTCAATCTGGTAAAGTAATCTGCCTTTTCTCCATCTCCGGTCTAATTTGACATCTAAAAAGTGTGGTGCACATACCACCCATTCCCGGTGTCCCTGAAGAGCATCTGGTTTCAAACTTTTGACAGCAACAGTGATACCAGTTCCTGGTTTAGCAGGAGTAGTGCTGTTTTCCTCTATCCATCCTTTAAAAACATAACCAAATCCACCCTCACCAAGGATACTATCAGGTCTGAAGTTTCCAGTGGCAATCTTCAGCTCTTGGAATGTGAATTGTAGCGGCTCACAAGATGATTTATCTTTGGGTGGGGATTTATTGCCATTTTCCTCAGAGAACATAGTTTCAAACGGAATATTCATCTCACGATTGCTAGCATTTAAGTATCTTGCTTCTGTTGCTGCATTGAAAATTCGTGTTTTAGATCACTACTTTCCAGAATGAAAATGAAAGATACGCACCAAGTTTTAAAATAACTCAAAAGGGGCAAATGATGAAAAAATACATCCACTACAATATGGATGGAATTTTCACAACACAAAAAAAATGACTGCATAATAATAGAGGATGGTGATATATACCAAAGAAGGAACACCAAGAACGCGAGGAAATTAGAAGTTGAAACTCAAAGCAATATAAGAAATTTCAGATCATCTTGTCTCAGTGGATAATCAGCAGCAAAATGCAAGGAAGTTAAAACTCAATGTTGTTAAGTCCTTTCACAAGGAAGCGAGGGCGGAGCTCAAAACTATTGAGAAAAATAGTAATTTTGGGTCATAAATTAGGAAAAATTATTAGGTGCGGAGTGCGCACCGTTCGCACAAGTACTGGGTACCTAGCGGTACCGAGTGCCGGTATCTAGCGCGGAACAATGCTTGTGCGGACGGTTCTCCCCATCCGCACTCCGCACCTAATAATCTCTCATAAATTAGACCTTGAAGGCGGCTAAAGCATTCATTTTACTATGAATTACCGAATAAAATTTCATCTCCGTCAAATTTATGCGTGTTAGTTGAATAAAAAAAATTTATATGTGATGAAAGTTTGACAAACACTTCACGGAGGCTTCTCCTCGTACTTACAGTGTGAAAGGGAGGCTTAGATATTCAAATTGATGACTCGTATCCTATATCTTTTCATCTAAATATTTTGCGATTGGTTTTGGTAAGTCAATAAGCGCAGAACTAGATGTTGATGTCTCTGTAATTATCCTTCAAGAGAATTAGAAGTTCTTTTTCAATTTACACCGAAAAAGATTAATCTTTGACTAGCTTAGTAGTTAGGAAACAATAAATTGCAATCATTATGCGTTTCTTTGTATATCTCATCTTAAATTTGTATTAATAATCTCTAGATCCTAAGATGTACTGCATCAGCTCCTTGAAATTCCAATCAAAATAGGCCTTGATCTGAGGTCAACGATGTACTTTTAGAGAAGAATACTAGGTCTGAAATCAACAACCGCAGCCATATGATATCAAAGATCTCAGGCATAAAATAATTCGTACAAAATATGAATCGTTAGACAGTGGATTCGTCAGCGATGGAAACAGGAAATTACTTTCTAATGCTAAATAGTTGACCAAAAAAATTTGGTGTTGGAAGGAATAGTTAGCCGTTAGGCATCAGTGGCTTGCAACAGCTTCCCACCAATTAAAAACATGACTAGGACCTCAGCTTATCATTGACTTAGGCGGCATTTCTGAATACAAAATTGACCATTTGGCCAACCATCCATTCCCGTGAGTACTGAAACAGCCAAATAGCTGACCAGCTTTATTGATTCCACAAATCAGGAAAAACATTAAAGATAAGCAAAATCCCTGCGACTTAGACGCAATAAGCCAGTTGCGAGAATCATGATTACCCTTTATAACGAAATTTGCTTAGAATCTGTTCATAGCAACGAAGAGGCCCAAAGTAATTTGAGGCTCTAAACTAATTATTGGCTTTCAGGCCGATAATTCTTCATGGATGTAAAAATCACCGTATTTTCACTGAAACATGCGAACTAGTAAAGATCTGCCAGTCCTATTCATCGAAAACCCCAACTTCAACCCACTCTTAGCTACATCAGTAATGATAACTACAGCTAATTGAAGAAAAAAACACCTCCAAATTTATAAGCCTTACAGAAGAATCCAATCCACCATCAAACACGTCACAGAACTCCTACTCGAACAGGACAAAAGAAAGATCCTCATGATAAATTAGATAGAGCAGTTAAAGAAACCTGAGTCGTGGACTAGGCTGGTCCTGGGAATGGTATTGGCAGAGGCAGCAGCGACGGGCGATGTCCCGCAGGCGCCTCCAATTCCACGAGAAATCGCCGCCCAGCAGCCGCACTTATTATTGCCTTCCATCACCATCCTGCCCCCTTCCTCTGCTCCCCCGAGATTTATTTCTGACAAAGCAAAGAAGCAGCGAAGAACTTGAAATCCATCGTTTCCATCGCGAAGAAGAAGAACAGAAGAGGGGCACAGAGGAAGAGAGAGAGGAGAAAGCGAGAGTTGGAGAGAGAGAGAGTGGGATTGGAATGAAGGTGTTTGCTGGTGTTCTTCGTCACCATCATGATGGGGAGTATATGCGAGAGAGGCTCTTCTTTTTCGGTCCTTTTTTCTTCTTTTTCCCGCCTTGGAGAGAGAGAGAAAGAGAGAGAGTGGGGGCGTCGACCGGCGAGAGACAGGAACTGTTTGAATATATATATATATATATATTATCGTTAAATTTAATTTTAAAAAATATAATAATTAGTCAATTAATTAATTATTTTTTAAACTTATCACAAAGAAAATTCATCTTGATTATATTTTATAGAATATTCCGACCAACTTTTTTTCCTCAGCCGATTTCTTTTTTTCCTTTTTCTTTTTTTTTTTTGTGGAAATCCTCACCCCATTTTTTCGCAGCTCTAGAGCAACAGCTACAGCCTCATTTCATAACATTATTCTGACACGTGGAGCTTGTTTGTTGGTGGCAATCAAAAAAGTTTGTGTTTTTTTTATACACAAGATTCAAATCTATAACTTTTTTGTTAAAAATCTAGGCTCGCAGCCAACGGATCAAAGTGAGCTGTATGTGCATTCTCTTTTAAGTTGAACATCTATAAAATTCTTTGTGATGTCGAATGTCGCACATGATGATTGGTCGGATGCTCATTAAGCATCACCATTGTTTTAGTAAGAGATTATTATTTATGTTTTAATATTTAATATTTATTTCCATATTAAATATATGAATTAATATATATTATTTTAAAAATTTTAATATTACTAATATTTTCTTATGTTAGTTATTATGATTTTATAAATAATCATTTTTTCCCTCATCTCACTACTACTAAAATAGACTTTCACAATATTTTTTTACCTTACAACGGTGACTAAAATACCTATTATTTTCTTTGTTGATGCTTGAAAACCATTGAACATTTGTTGTTTTTTATTTTATAAATAAAATACACATTTATGTACCATCATCATCTACATATAAAAAAAGTAAATTATATAAATGAAATAGCGGCCCAAACGGGCCCTAAGGGTAGTTAGAAGACGAAATAAGCCAAAATTCAAGGTTATAAAGCTGGAGAAAATCAAGTACAATTAATGGAGGTGTTATGGCTGATACTCTTTTAGTTTTGTGTGTATCTGATTGTGTAGATAAACCTCAATTACCTCATGCAAATTTGGGTTCGGGTGCTTTTGCAGCATTGTATATCCCAGTCTTGTGCTGCTATATAGTATAGTTGGAGACAAACAGATAACAAAGCGCTACGATGTTCTAGATACTGACACTGCAATGTTGTTAGTCATGCTGGAAACATAGAGTGGTACATCACGATGCTCCAAACCTAGCGTCACGGCTTGCTAGTTGGGCCAGGTAGCTTTCTCGTTTTTCATATTTAACATAAAGTGTAGCATCTCTTAGGTGGTTTTAAGGTTGTTTCTGTCGTTTTTGTGTAGAGAATGGTGTACGAGTGAAAATAGATGAAGAGAGAGTGAGAGAATATATATATATACACACACACACACATCAAGTTCTCCCAATTTTCATAGTAAGTTTTTTGAAGTGGTGTAGCTCCGTAATTTTTACCAGTTTCAAGATAATCTATATTAAATCATCGTATTATTTCTTTTCCGCTGCATTTTTTCTTTCCTGTTTATTTCATTGCGTGGTTTTACTTCCCCAACAATGATTTGAAAAATCGATCAAACATACAAAAAAATTGGTGCAATATCTTAAAGCCACTAAATTATTCAAAAATTATATATGAAAAAAAAATTGTTACATGAACACCAATTTCAATAAATTTTTGCTCAAAAGTCAAAATGATGCGGTTGGATGAGAGAAATCTAATGAGAAGAATATACAATTTTGAATATTTTGATTTCTGAATTGACTGAAATAAGCCAAATCCAACTAGTACAATCTCCCCCACATACAACAAAGTGCATGTGTGCATGTGGAACAAAGTGGGGACCACTGCTTAATGGGATTTCCTCCATGAAATTATTCCATGCGGAGTCCGAATAGTAAAGAATCGTCCAAATGTGAGTGTATATAGTGTTTGTACATATTGTGTATGAAAAAATCAAATTGTATATAAAATTATAGTCAATGTACACTCACATCCGGATATATAGTTCTTTGCAGTCCGAACTCCGCACTAAATAATTTCTCCCATGATTGAGGCTTTGTTTGGGACATCTTTCTTATTGCTTTCTAAAATGACTTTCTAGTACGAAAATTTTTAATTCAAAAAATATTTGTACTAGAAAGCTATTTTTAAAAGCAATAAGAAAGTCATCCCTAACAAAGCCTTAGACTTCTTTTGGGACGGCTTTTTTTCTGCTTTCTGAAGTATTTTTTTAATATATATATTTTTTTTTTTCAGTTTAAACATTTTTTTGTATTAAAAATGGCTTCAAAAAGCAGGAGAAAAACGTCCCAAACGAAGTTTAACATATAACCTAAACTCGAATTCATATTCAAAGGGTTATGAATGTCTGATTTTTTATCAATGAACTTCACTAATTTCTTTATATTTAAAAACAAATTAATAAATATTTTAAATATGAACCCCATGGGCTGAGTAATTAGGTGGTTGAACCATCTAATGTTCACCCTAAAATTCTATTAAGAAATTAAAGGCCTTCACATAAACAATTAGTTGCATAGTCAGAAAGCACAGTTAATGATGACAAAGATAAGCACAATTAAGACAGATAATTACGTGATCTTCTCGCCATATTAGCACTAAAACAAAGCCACGTCATCTCTTAATCCTTCTTAGAACGTTGTAATTTTTTAATTAATAAGGATAAATTAATTTCTAATAAAAGAACAATTATCCTCTCATTAAAATAGTATTTATTGATTTTTAAATTTCAAATTTATCCTTTATAAATGGACCACATCGACCTGAAATAAATAAATAATAAACATCAATTCCATCTCTATAGCCAGCTTTCTTCAGCCTTTCGTTTTCTTGGCATCCCACTTGCTCTCTAGAATATCGCTTTCTCTGCTCTCTCTCTCTCTCTCTTTGGACGCAAACCTCTACATGAAAGTGTGGCTAACGGTTACTATAAAAAATTGGAGTGATGATAATTATTATTTTTTGCATTAATGGGAATTATGGGATTAAAAACAGAACAGTAGTCTTATTTTCTTTTAACTATAATACCATCACCTATTAAGTTAAGCTTTGCAAAGGTGAGGATGCTCACATAGATGAGTGGCTTTACTCTTAGAGATAAGATACAAAATGAGCATATAGTTGAAAAAGTTGGTAGCTCCACTGGAAGATAAGATTAGAGGAGAAATTATTCTCTGCGAATGCTGAACGTCATTCGGAAACTAACCAAAATGAGTCATGTCCGTACCGCGGTTCGGTATTACTCGGTACTGCAGCTCAATATTATTGACGTGGTTCATTCTGGTTCGTCTCCGAATTTAGAGCTGCGTTCGGCGTCCGCACAAAATAATTTCTCAAATTAAAGTCTCCTTAGATGGTTTGGTCACATAAAATGGAGGCCTTCCGATGACCTAGTTAGGAAATTAGATTTATTAGATTTGACTTATGTTAAAAAAGGTAGCGTTAGACCTAAAAAAGATTTGTTTAAAAAATATTATAAATGACTTTTCTTTATTAGATTTAAGCTTCGTTTGAGACAGTTTTATTACAGCTTCTCATGACAACTTTTTAGTACAAAACTTATATTTTTTGTATTAAAAAACAGCTTTAATAAGCAGTAAAAAAGTTGTCACGAACGAAGCCTTAGATGAGAATTTGACTCTTAATATAACAATGGAGAAAAAAGAGTCATATAGCCGACCCCACATAATGGGATAAAAGCTTGTTGTTGTTGTTGTTGTTGTATAATACCACCACCAAAAAATGATAATTACATATATAGCACTTAAAGTATTACAATTTATATATTAATATATAAACTTAATTATTCACATACATAATACTTATAATATAAAAATAAATAAAATTTAAAAATACGCTAACCATCCTGTCACGAAGTCGCTCAACCTTGTTGCTTGCACCCTTCTATAGGCCTAATTATTAGGTCAGGTGACCTGGCGTAGCTCTACATCCATACGCCAATAACATGCCGCCACTTGCTCTTACTCTTTACAGAGCGGCCCGACGACCCGACCCGGGATTGCTATGTTCGCGTATTGCTCGGTATTACTCGGTATTGTTAGGTATTGCTTGGCAATAACGAGAAATACCGCTCTGTGAAGACCAATACCAAGCAATACCGAGTAATACCTAGCAAAACTTGGTATTGGTCTTTACAGAGCGGTATTTCTCGTTATTGCTGAGCAAAATCGACCAATACCTAGCAATACCAAGCAATACGCGAACATAGCAATCCCGAGTCCGTTCCGGGTTGGTTTGTCGGGCCGCGCGATAAATAGTGAGGACACGTGATACTATTTTACTAGTGGTCCGAACGTAGAACTACGTTAGGTGACCGGACCAAATAAATAGTGGCGGAGCTAAAAAAAATTTAAATTGGAGGCATAAATTTTTTTTTTCTCAAAACTTTCCTCATCATTCCCAAGAGGTTGTAATTAACCCTATGCAATCTATGAATCTACAAACTGTTTTGAAAAGTAGATAAGATCTAATTCAAGTCATAAAAGTAAAACAGAAAGAAATAAACCCAAAAAATATATAAAAAAAAAATTTATACTATTATGCCCAATTGATAGCTATGTTACTCTTTTGTAAATATTTCCACACACTTTGAAGCCATTCTTATTCTTCTAAATCCACTAAAAGGTAACACTATTTACTGAATATATATTCTTCACTATATGCAAAAGGTAGCTAGAGCAAGATGAATTATATAAAGATTGTCCTATAGTAGGGAATTACTTATCTTCCTTTGCGCTCAAGAAATTTATCTAAATGTTGGAATAAAAAAGAGGGGAAAAAAAAGGAGCATTAAATTTATATGCCAAAATAGTGAGATCTGAAAAAAAAATGGTGAAAAGAAAATAGGAGAATAAGAGAAAGAAGAAGGGGTGGAAGAGGTAGATGAAGAAGAGGATCTACCTCACCATAAACTTGCAAAAGAAGGTTCGGATGGTCGGACTGGCATGGAGGAGGAAGAGTCGCTGATTAAAATGATGAGGCCATGGCAAACAATGTGAACGAGGAGCGGGTAGGGCTACCAAACTCAAGTTATATATAACAGGGGGAAGCAAAATATATGATAAATGTTTTGTATTATTATTATTATTATTATTATGAAGGGGGTTTGTGCCCCTATAGGGCCCCTTTTATTCATACCTCCATCCACTATTTCAAATAGACCTTGCAAGATACCACATAGAGAAGCATGACCAGTAAAGGCAGTCTACCTATTTTCTCCTCATGTTTAGCAAGATATATTAACCCCATTAACATAGTGTTAGATAATGTGAATGGTAAAATTTAAGTGTTAAATGTATAAATATTAGTGTTTTTGTGTGTTATGTATGTAAACCCTCCCAAAAACGAAGAAAAAATATGTTTATTATTATTTTTAAAGAGTCGAAGACTTTCCTTTGATCTAGGATGATTGATTAATGATAATCTTCTTAATCTAATGGATCAAAAAGTATTAAGGAATTAGGAAGGCACTATTTATGATCAAATTTTCTTATGATTATAATTCACTTCACACAATATGCAAAATTAAATAGACATACATACACACATATTTACATACATACATACATACATATATAAAGTTTAATAACCTTAGCATTCAAAACTTCAGAAGAAAACTCTTAATATAAGATTCCCGACCACTATTAGATTGATAAGAAGGGATTCCATCTAGTTGAGAACTGATGTCAACACAATCATTTTTCAAGAGTAGGGTCTATTTATTTTAACTTTGATTATAATATATTTATATGTTACTCATCATCATGAAAATTTATTGGACAAGCTTTGCTTGGCTTTGGAATAATATGCTCATTGAGCTCAATTGATTTAAAGGGCGCGCCCGCCTTTGGGATATTTGTTTTTATTTTTGAATGAGAGAAATTTTATTGACTAATATCCAGTGAGAGATCATAAGTTAATAGTATGACTCTTTGGGATAAAATTTTTCATGTGCTATTGTCTAGGTTTTGTTTCGGACAGCTTTCTTATTGCTTTCTAAAATGGCTTTATAGCACAAAAATTTTGTACTAGAAAGTTGCTTTTAAAAGTAGTAAGAAAACTTGTTCCAAACAAAGCCTAAATCACATTAAACCATATACATTAAAATATGTGTATTTCACACGGGGAAGTTAATTTCAATGATATTTTTATGTGATTTAAAAATCTGAGTGTTATATAAATAAATATGAATATTTAACTATTTAATAGATACATAAATCCTTTCTGAAATTTTATTCATAATTATTATTAATACATTTAAATAGTTGTATTTTTTTTACTGTGTAAGTCATGCTAATAATATTCATACACACATGTTTGCAAAAAAAAAAAATGATTAAAAGATAAATTTAGGCCATAAATTTACTCTCTTTTTTTCTTTAAAAAAAAAGAGAGAGAGACCCAATGAGCCGCGGCCCAAGGTCATCCTCGTCTGCTCGTCTCGGTTGGTGAACGAGGGAAGCTACAGAAGAAAGCCCTTGCAATCCCCGTTCATCGTCGTTTCCTCGGTCATTGGACATCGTCGGTGATCGCACTGTTGTCGTAACTTCCTCTTTCTCCTTTTCGCCTCAACTGCAATCATCGTGCGCTGCATTGTTGATTCTGGAAGTAACTGGAGTCTCTGCCGCTACAGGTTAGTGACGTAAAATCGCTCTTTGTATTTCTTCTACTGTCTTCTTACTCTTCCTCGGTGTCACCCATGGATGTTTACAGACATTTAATTTTGGTGCTTTCCTGCTCCTAAACCATATACAATTAGGGGTGGGGGTGAGGTAGTAGGGGGAGTAGAGCTAGGGATGGAGAGCCTTAACCTGTTTGGAATACATTATTTATGATTTAGATTATCTTGATTTTAGGGTTTACAATGCACCGTGTGTTGAAACCTAAAGATTTCAAAATCATGATAAAAACGCCATTCACTATTGATGTACGGTGATTCATGCTTGTTAATGGGTAAATTAGTAAATATAACCTTCTATCCTCCTTTTTATGGGGGACCTCTTGGAAATTGAAATAGGAAGCACTCACCTTGCTATATATTGTTTTTGTGAATCATACTAATTTCAATCTCCCCATCTTGAGTAATTCTAAAGAATTTTCATACTAATTACTCATTACTTGATGCGAATGTTATTAAAACTTCAATGCCACTAATGTTAAAAATGCATTTGAGATTATGAAATTGTTAATAGTAATTTAAGTATTTTAAGAAAGTATTATTGGTAAATTTTCTTATATAGAACTTGAAATTAACTTGTAATTGGTTTAATTGTGGCTGTTTATGCATAGGTATATGCCATAATGTTGGCTTAGTTATATCTCATTCTAATTAGCCTTATAAATGGGTTTGATATTCCAAGTTAACATTATTGAGAGGGGGCAACGAATTTCTTAGGTTGTTGTCTTGTTGATAACCTTTTTAGTAATATCCAAGATTATCATGAGAGTCAACATGATAATGTAGTTAATTGATAGTTATATGTGGTTAAATTCACTCACTCATGATTTATTATTATTATGACAAGTAATTGGTTGTTTCTAACCTATATTATATAAGATATGCTACTACAGATCTTTTATTGTATTCATGCATGTTTTCTTATACGAAGATGATAGTTCACTTGAGTTATATTACTATTATTGATGATATATTCATCATGATATTCATATCTTTTTATCTTGCATCTTGTATGCTCCAATTCTTTGGTGCTTATGTCTCAGCAAATTATTTCACCCATTATGTTTATTCTTGCAAACTCCCTCATGTTGATTCTATTGTTTTAGTTAACTGGTTGGACAATCTTGAGGATACAAATGCTTGTATCTTTCCTCTTGATTATGGTGTGATTAGTATGTATGGTTGTTGCTTTGATGAAATAATGGTTTTATATCTCTTCTTCAGTGAATTCCTATATTGTTAAGGTTCTTTGTATTTGGATAAATTGGAAGATTGATTAGATTGATATGCCCTGATCTTTAATATTGGTGAATACGAATTAATTAAATGCGTATATTATTTTATATCATATTTAGCTTAAATTGACTAACAAACTCACCATGCTTGTGAAACTATAGAAATCTTATTATCACAATTTTTTGTGGGAAAAGCTTGACTAATAATATGATTTTAATCACAATATTGAAATTCTTCTTAGTGAAGGAGTTAACACTAAAAAATAATAAACATTTTGTAATAGTAGGCTTCAAATTTTACTGTTCCTAAAGTTGAGGAGATATGTTTAATGATAGAAGATGATTGAGAGTTTGAAGATAACCTAGCAGAGGAAATCCATTATGAACTTATCACAACATAGCTTAATAAGGTTTTGATAGCCTCACTTATTTCTTAAATATTGGTCGAAGAGTTCATAGCTAAAAAATAATTTCTTCTCATCCATGAGGAGAATACATTGAATAAGGGCTATCCAAAAAAGAACCTGCTAGGCTGTTGACATTTGTTGAATCATTAACAATAAAGTTGATAGATTGTACCTTAAATCATCTTCTTTCATAAAGATGTGAGAATTAATGAAGAGTGAGAATTAAGGGTAAAAAATGAGAATTCAAACAGCCATCATAAGATACTACAGTTGGTCATAGTGCAGATGATGGTGTTATTTTATTATGTGTTGAGTTTAGGACTTTCAAATGAAAGTTCTGTTTACTACGGCATTGCAAAATAAGCAGAGAATATTAGTGCCAACTAAATAGAATTGCATGTTGATGTTCTCAAAGACAAGGGAGTAATATAAGGCGAGAATCATTATTATCTATTGTAGCCATGAAGAATTGTAGAAAGTGAAGAAAAACGAGGAGAATTGTACATAGTGATATAAGGCGGAAATAGTCCTTGTTCTTTATTGCATCTACTAACTTGGCAATAGATATATGCAAGGGTATTTGAATGATAGCTCATGCGAGTATTGGCGACTTGTTTCTAATTGATAATCACATTGATGAGCAATTAAACTGAACTTATCATTCATGGTGATGAGGTATATGGCGATGGCGAGTTTGATGGTAAGTTATTATTTTGCCTAGGTCAACTTTACCTCAATTTCTATTATGATGGCATTGATGCTGAAGTGATGTCACCTCATAATTGTATTATGTTAGGAAACACTGGAAGATCTCAAGCGAAACCTAATGATTTTGACAAAAACAGCGAGAACGATCAATCAATCCACAGGAAAAAAATTAGAAAAGCAATAATTTTTATTAGAATAATCAAACTAACGGAAGGAAAATAACAAGATACAATTGATCATCTATTTGAGAGGAGGATCTATCGCTCCAGAATCTCTAGACACCGCTAGAGCCCAAAAATCTAAACCTACGAGATCTCAAATTTCAGCCAAAATCAAGATGCCCTAACCCTAGGAAAATAAACTATTTAATGCATACAATTCAAAAGGAAATCTCTAAACAACCCCTACTTTGAAATTTTCCTCTCAACTCCCTCAAAAATCCTTCCTAAATAGCTTCCTTGGACCCGGTGGCTTGAGCGACACATACAGGAGAGACAAAACTTTCGCCTCTGTTCCGCCTGTGGGCTGCGTGAGCCTTAAGGACCGGCTGGACCGGTCTAACAATACTCCCCTCCCAAAGTGTCACCTTATCCTCATGGTAGAATGAAGGAAATTGCTGCTAAAGTACTTAATCAATAACACTGGACTGAAAAATGGATTGATATTGGGTTGAATGATCCCTGCTTCCAACATCTCCTTAATCAATTTTTCAATCTCATCCTTCGATTTGGGGATGATGATATAAATGAACACTGAGAGGTGAAACTACTTCCTTCAAGATGATAGCATGCTCGTGTTCTCGCGGAGAGGCAACCCCTGAGGCGGCTGAAAAACCTCACTGAACTATTGAATCAATGGTTGTATTGAAAAAGGAAGGTACCTGCCCTCCTCTAATATGATCCCCTCCAGCCTATGTAGTTCCATCAGATAACCTTCTCCCGCCTCCTATATGCTTCTCACCTTGGTTTTAAGTGATATCATGACGTTGGTGAGCCTTGAATCTCTCCTGATCACTACCCTTTTTCCTTCCACGATCAGCTTCATCGTCAATGCTCCCCAGTTGACCTTGGTGTCCTCGAAGGTTTGTAGCCACTTCATCCCTAGGATGACACCAGTTCTCCTTAACTCCAATGGGAGAAAATCCTCCCTTACCTGAACCCCATGTATGATCAACACAACTCCCCTACAAATCTTCTGAGCCATCTCTCATCTTCCCTGTACTCATCATCACTCCATAACACACTATATCCACCAATGTCACCCCCAATTGGTCCACGACCTGGTTGTAGATGAAATTATGGGTAACCCCACTGTCAATCAACACCACCACCTCCCTGTATGCTATTTTCCCACTTTACTTTCATGGTATGATTCAAAGTGAATCCCACCACTGAATTTAGAGAGACCTCCATCACGTCCAGATGTAGCTTGTCTTCTCTCTCTCTCTCTCTCTCTCTCTCTCTCTCTCTCTCTCTCATGTCCCTCAGTTTCCTCGTCATCACAGACGGTGAGAACCTGAAGAGTTTAATCCTTACACTTGTGCCCTGGAGTATACTTCTAATCACATTTAAAGCATAGTCTCTTCGCCCTCTTCTCCTGCATCTCTCTCTCCGTCAGTCTTTTGAAGTTCCCCCCAATTCCTCCTCATGTTGGATTTTCCTTGGGAGTCTCATTAATGTTGCCTGACTCAGGCCCCTTGGTGAAAAATTATCATGTTATTTTAAACTTTGAAATAACTGGGACCTCCCTAAGTTTGAAGATGCCCAAATAATTCTGTCTTCCAACAGCTTTTAGATCAAACGAGTATATTGATGATACGATTAATTGGATGACAAGCAATGCATTGTTCGACCAATTAGCTACGTTCCTTCATCAACCGTATTATTTTGTTTGTTAGTCTAGTGAATTTGACATTCCTTGAGTACCCTTAAAATTTAATTACCACAAACATTTTTGTCCATGTTAATGCTATGCTGGGAATTTACTGTTAAGTGAAGGTAGGTTAGCAAAATAGTGTCGGGAATATGAATGAATATATTAAAAATATATACAATTCGTTATGATATTATTATTATAACAAAATAAGAATTTTAATCTGCAATATTTAAAGCTAGGCATTACTTACCATACATAAGGAGTTAAGTTTTTTAAATAAAAGCATATACGACATGAATAAAGTAGAGATTTCCCATTGTCCTTTACATTGATAATGCCCTACATGATTTAAAGAAATTTGCTTTGCATTGATTCATTAAGGACTTAATTCTTTACATTCTACATTCAATATATGGCAAGCGATTGGTGCGTGGACTAAAACTCTTATATTAGTGGGGAATATAATGATTGAAGCATGTGCTCATCCTATTGTCCAATGCTTTAAACGCTGATGGTCACTTAAAAAGTTTACCTTTGACATATAACTGTTGGAACAGTTAAACTTCCCTTCTAAGTGTTCTCTCCACTAGAGAATTGTCCAACCACATTTCTCTCTGCAACTTGGCACCTATGAATGGCCATGGGACCCACCTCAAACCAAATATTATTAAAACAAGTGCATCCTAATAGTTGTAAGGGCTTTAAATGCTCTAAGTGCTCATAGCATGGTCGAAATCCATATACTAGTTTACTTCTAGAATTCTGCCGAACTTGCATTCCATGTATCACCATCACATTGGACTAAAAGATGTTTAATTACATTGGTTGGTCAGTAGAACAGTCCTGTGTCATAAACTTCATCAGCCTTTCCAAACGTTGTTATTCTTTTCATTATTTTTTTTCTACAATATTATCAGAAATCATTGCTAATCATAGAATATTATCGCCTGGATCTGCTAACAGGATGGCTTTATAGAGTCTACCAAGCAGGGAGATCTTCCTGTCGCATCCCTATTGGACCTTCTTAATGAGTCGTCAATTGGGACAGTAATATTACTGGCCGTTATTTTTGTATATTTTTACAGAAAAAAACAAATAAAAGAGATAATTTTGGATCATCTGTGCTTTTCTCCAATCACATCTTTTTGTAAATTTGATTAGGGCTTCGTTTGAGACAGATTTTTTATTATTTTTTAAAATAGTTTTTTAGTACACAAATTTTTTGTACTAAAAAACTGTTTTATAAAGCATTAGGAAAGCCGTCCCAAACTAAGGTTAAGGCTTGATCACTTAATTTAGCTTAAATTTAATTTTTATTAATACTTCATCCAGAATGTTTTATCTTCGTTATGGGTTATCATTTTAGCATGCATGGAATGGCTATCACCAATTATTAAGATGATTCCATAGTTGAATTTGTGAAATGATAATATAAAAAAATAGTTTATCATTTCAAAGATGAGAAAGCTTCTCAAATAAATCTCAAGATCAGGTACTTAGACTTTAGGAGGTTCTATAATTATTAATTAAAAGATTAATGGTGAGCGCCTCGCTTAAAACAAACTTCCCATACGGTCGGCCAATTTCCACTTCCTTTCCACATCCTCTATCTCCTTCTTGATCCCACTTGCACGAAAACTTTGAAAAGGTTCACAATTCCAAAGATTTTGAGCTCATTAGCGTTAGTTCAATGTCTTCTTTTAAACGCCGCTGATAATGAAGGACTTCATATTAAATGCTTTTCCCAATAAAGTCATGTCTCTAGAAAAAAATGTCACCTCTCTTTTTCCAATGGATTTTCTTTTCATGATCATCAACATAGCACTTTCAAATCTTAACTTTTTTTCATGCACTTTCTCTCTTGTAAAGTTTTGGAGTGATTGGACATAATTTTTATTTTTTGAAAACTATCCACAAGAAATCTTAATCATGCAAACCTGCCATTAAAAAAATAACTAATGCCATAATCACTCTTGGGAAATTTGACAAAAAGCAAAAAGATAATAATTGAAGTAGCCCCCTCCCAGTGTAGGGAATTAATGATGCAAGGCATCTTCAGAATCATCAATAGAAACTTTAGAGGCATTCATTGAAACTATTTTTTATGCATTTATGAGATCGTCTGATATATATTTCTTTTCTTTTTTGACCTTACTGTATCATTGGTAATTGGTCATTATCTTATATACCTACGGCTTGTATCATTTGGGCCTTATTGATGTAGTGATGGTGGAACCCATGTCAGATCATAATTGTTTGACTTCTTTTAGCCATTTTTTTCTTCCATTAACTACTATTTGGCCTCCACCTTATTAACATTCACACCAGCTTTTAATATTTACTGTTCTTACCCACCATCTTTTGCCTCTATCAATATGCATGAACATCCCTCTCTCTTCTCTCCTTTGACTCATTATTTTTTTTTTTTTAAATTTTCCTCTCTATTTATTTATTTGATCATGGAACTTGATAAAATCTTGGAAACCATACAATACCTCACTAAAATCCTCAAAATCATAAAACCTTCCCCTTCACTATGCATGGCCAAACATACTTTGATGTCTCTTGTGTTTCCCTTCGTAGCTACTATATATAGGCTCCATAATGTATTGAACATCTTTGAATGAAAAAAGTATATCAATTTTCTTTCACTTTGAATGTGACTATTTTTATGTGCTTTTAACCTAAGAGAATGAATTATTGTGTGATATTATACAAGCCCTTTTAAATTTCTCTTTCAATTTTGAAAAAAAAAAATAATATATATGTATTTTACAAGCCCTTGGAAGGCATCAGAGCAAAGGACCATTCACGGAGATCTACTTCGGTTTCATTTTTTCCGTCATCATTAATGTAAACTTCATCATGCTTAGTTACCTAATGTATAATCATAAGTGCTAGTTATCATAATCATTTGCATTATCATAGTTTACTCCTAGTTGAATCAAGTTTGGGTTGTTGACTGTTAGTTGAGATTTAAATCACAGAGATTAGTTAGATAATTGAATTTCATAGCTTTTCTCTTTTCATTATTAAAAATAGCCATGACATGTCTTAGTGATTTGATTTTTTTTAATGGATCCTAACAAATCTATCGATCTTCTCCAAGACCTAATGCTCTTCAAAAATACATTTCACAGGTAATTATGCATTAAGTTTAATCACAAGTCCGCAAAAAAGCTTAATTTTCTTTGCATTCTTCTGTCATATTTATTCTCTTCTAATAAGGTAAGTAGAGGTTAGCTAGTTTTCTTTCAAAAATAAAAAAACATCACCAATGAGGCTCATGGTTAGAAATGGCTAGAAATTTAAATTATTAAAAATATTACAGGTTTTCAATTAAATGTATACCGTTTATTTTTTTTTTTTTTTTCGGTATAGCAACATTTATAGTTAAGTTTACAATCTACAAAATGATAAATCTAGAAATGGCTAGAAATTTATATTATTAAAAATATTACAGGTTTTCAGTTAAATGTATAACACTTAAAATGTTTTCTTTTTTGGTATAGCAACATGTATAGTTAAGTTTACAATCTACAAAATGATAAATTTTATAAAGTTGCTGTTCACAAATTTTCTGCTATTTCACAGTTAATTATGCATAACTTTAAAATCAAAATCCGTAAAAAAGCTCAAGATTTATGCATAACAACTCATCTGAAACTACCTGAACTGTGATCACATAATCTGACGAACTAAAGCTCACAGCTCAATCAAATAACTCAGTGCTAAAATCCACAACAAAAGAACCAAAAAAACTATGATTTGGAGAAATTAGGAAATAATCATATTTATTTCCGATGTAAAAAGGTGATATTCAGAATCCATAATACAATTTTAACCTTGTTATACAGAAAAATAGGTTAAGTAGCCAGCACAATGGCAGGGTAATTTGCCCAGAATATAAAACTAAACACTGCTACTTAATTACAAGCTCCTTCATCAACTCGGCAATGCTTTGGTCAAAGCATGCAATGTTACCACTTTCTTGGCTAGAAAATATTATCACAGAAAAATGTTTACATGATCTTACCTGCAATCCAGCCAATGGAAACAATTAAGATTTGGTTTGGATAAGTATAATAGATAAAAGAGAAGAAACAAAAGTGGTGGTCATAGAATATGTACTTTCCAAATCACAGTGGCTTTAATTCAGAAATTCCAATCTATTTAAGTGTTTTTTGAAGGATTCAAATTCCCATTCTCCAGTCATTCTTGCCAATTATAGTTTTGTATGAGGTGTTACACAGTTCAAAGTATATTGTTTTGTTTTTTTTCTTCCTGATCCTTCAAGCTGCTCAGTATATGTTGCCTGAATTTTTTTGCTTTCACGAATCATTTTCTTTTATGCCCAAATTTATGAAAGAAAAGCTAAAACAGTAAACATGTATTATGTATCTTATAAGCCCTATGAAATGTAAGAAATAATTTCTGCATTATCATAATAGCTTAGTTTTATACCTTCCATTAAAAAAAAAATCTTGCAGTAAACCTTATTATAAAGCTCTATCGACGACACTCCACAAGAACATACACAGGCTTCCCATTAAGCCGGTACCGGCCCTGCACAAGATATTAAATAGTCAGAAAGGTGATCTAAAAGAACTTAGATATATGTGATGAATTGACTGAAACAACAAGAGTAAGCTTCTGAAGTCTTTATTTGCAATGTGACCGTATAATGACTAATAATATCATAGATCCTTAAAGTTACATGCACTGCTAATGGAAGAATATTCCAATTTTTCTAATTTCTTCAATGAGCTTCCATTATAATATTACACGAAGCTAAAATTGTGAAAGTTGCTAAATAAGGAGGGTAAAACTTGGGATGGTGACAAGGTGCGATGCATCTCATGAGCAGCTAATGATAGGAAGAAATGAAGAGGCGGGTGGGTAAAGCTAGAAAAAATCAATTACTATCATGAGAGCGAGAAATCTAACTACATTTAGACCAATCATGGAGATATTGTATTATAGGTCAACGAAGTTGTAGATCCTTGACATGCAAACTAACAACAAAAGAAAAATGTTGCAGAGCTTTAATAGCCAATAAATAATTGCTTATCAGCATTCTAAAATATATTTTGCCTTCAGCCTTCAATAACTAAAAACCTTTTGATTACTGGCAATATCAAACCTATTTAATATTTCATCTAATTCAAAGAAAATTTATTTATGAGTAGCAGACTAGAATAGCCACTATATTTATATATGAACAGGTAAGTACCTGATACATCTTGGTATCCAAAACAACAAAATGCTCCAAGAGATTCAACAAAAGAAGATACAATGGTCTTATTTCGAGAGGACCTTCTCTCCTAAATTTTAGATGCCGTTAGGATCCCTCACACAAGAGAACAACACTTAAAATAAAATTCTGCATGAGAATAAAATAAACCCTAACTTTAGACTTAAATAAGCTTTCTCCTTTCCTCCTAAATCAACCTCCTTCCTAATGTGTTTCCCTTCTCTATTTGAAATTCAATTAGGAAAGGATTTTCTAATTGATTCCCTTATAATATAATATTTTAATTCTCTGTTGGCCCCACCTCAACCGACCCCCCCTCTCTACTCGCCGGCCCCACCTGAGGGTGCAAATGAATCGAGTCGAGCTTGAGTCGGGAGGTGTTCGAGTCGAGCTCAGTTGTCAAAAACCAAGCTCGAGCTCGAACTCGAGTCGAGCTCAAAAATCGAGTTCGAGCTCGACTCGACAGAGAGAAAGCCAGCTCGTCGAGCGGGAGATCTAGTCGTCCGTCGCGGACGTCGTCATCCGTCAGCTTCCTCTTCCGCGATCGTAACGTCGTCCGCAAGCTTAAATGACGTCGAGCTCTCATTAGACCACTTCCGCGTCATCCGTCGCAGCATCGTCTAGCGAAACTACCGTCAACATCTCGTTTGTCCTCTTCCGCTTCCGCTTAGTCCATCCGAGCGTCGCAGTCGCAGATGTCGCCTATCCGTCGCAGCGTCGTCGACATCGAGCTGCTCGTCGAGCGGTAGATCTCGTTCTTCCGAGCGTCTCAGAGGTCGCCATTTAGGATTTCCGATTTCTCGCTCATGCGATTTGGAATTCCCGCTCACGATTTGGATTTCCCGCCGTTGAGCTGCTCATCGAACCGACGAATCGAGTCTGACGCATGTTCCAACTCGAGCTCGATAAGCCTTCGAGCTTGAAACTGTGTTCGAGCTCGACTCGCGAGCTCAATAAGCTCGACTCGTCAAGCCAGTTACCGAGTCGAGTCTGAGCCGGCTCGTGAGCCGACTTGACTCGGTTGCACCCCTTGCCCTACCTGGGTTGGGGTTTGCTTGACCGAGCGATCCAATGGTTCCCGGGTCTGATTGGTGATGACCTCTGCTGCTTCCGCCGTGTCAAATCTTTCCCAATACTCCATCACGTTGTCATCTTGTTTCAAGGCAAAGAATTGCTCATAATAATCCACATCCTGTTGGGCTTGAAAGCGCTCCAACAAGTGTTCCTTGAACACATCCCACAAACGGATTGGGTACCTCGCCTCTTGTCATTGGTATCATGCCAGTGTCTTCCCTTCCAGACATAGAGTGATGGCTATCAATTTCTCATTTTATGTCAACATGTTCACCATAAAATATCTCTCCACCCTATATATCCACCAATGTGTGTCATCCCCTTCAAATACATGCATTTTAAACTTTATAATCTTCTGTCCCCTCCACCCCAATGTCCCTTATGTCCCCCATACCTCTCATGAGTCATGATGCGAGTATTGTGGTCCCTCCACGGTTCCCTCTCTTCCCTTCTCCGTTCATATCCCCTCCTTCCTCCCAATTCAGGCCGCATGTTCTATTCGTCCCATTCCCTCCTTCCTACATACTCCATACCCATCCCCCTTCTCAGAATATGTCCAAGTGGGGTATTTCCTCCTCTCCTAAAATTTTCACCTTCCCATGTCCCCTCAGCATGTCATCTTCATGATTTCTTCTTGCTCCCGGCGGAACCGTTTTTGTATGAACTCCAACATCCGCTTTATCATCTCCTCCATGTTCTCAAACCTTCCTTATATCGTTAAAATACATTCATTCATTGATCCCATATCGGCTCATAGTTTCCCTACTTCCCCCTCCAACCTTTCTTCCAACATCTCAACTCTTTTTGTAACCATTGGTACCCGAATCAAGATCTTTTGGTGAAAAACAACAATTTTGACACAGCTCTTGCCTCCAAACAGGAAATTCAGCAGACGTCAAAAAAGATCATAGAAAAAATCAGCAACAAAAGCCCATATTTTATTCAGGAACGTGCTTTGATACCAATTTGATGTTTTAATATCCGAAACAACAAAATACTTAGAAATTCAACACACGCAAAAAATTATTGCCAAATACGAACAAAGCAAGATATAATGGTCCTCTTTCGACAGGAGAACCTTCTCTCCCAAACCCTAGACGCCGCTAGGATCCCTCACATAAGAGAACTACAACAGTCACAACAAAATTATGCATAAGAATAAAATAAACCCTAACTTTAGACTTAAATAAGCTTTTCTCATTCCATCCTAAATCTGCATCATTCTTAATGTGTTTCCCTCCTCTATTTGAAATTCAATTAGGAAAGGATTTCCTAATTGATTCCCTCCTAATATAATATTTTTAATTCTCTGTTGGGCCCCACCTATTCAACAGACTCCCCCTCTCTGTCCGTCGGCCACACCTAAGCTTAAGTTTGCTGGACCGGGCAGACCAGTGGCTCCTAGGTCTGCTTGATGTGGACCCCGGCTACTTCCACCATATCAATACCCTACAACCCAAGTAAGCCCTTGAAGTAATGAAATAACAAACAATAAATTAGAAGCCAACTCTCATCGAAAATATTCTTCAACACCATGATCACTAGCCTTGTCGCAATTATCCTGTGATGTCCCAGAATCTAAATTGGAAGAATTATGCTTATCTTTTACTAAACAAAAATCAGAGCTATCTAATATCATTTATCAGAAATAAACAATAAGATAGATTCTATAATTCAAAATATCAATGTACACATCTATATTTATTCCCAAAAATCATAAACAATACTCCCCACCTTTTGAACGAACTCCCCCTCTATATCCGTCGACCAAACCTGAGCTTAAGTTTGTTGGACCGGGCGGACCAGTGGCTCCCAGGTCCCCTTGATGTGGACCCCGGCTACTTCCGATGTATCAGTACCCTACAACCCAAGTAAGCCCTTGAAGTAATGAAATAACAAACAACAAATTAGGAGCCAACTCTCATTGAAAATAATCTTCAACAGCATGATCACTAGCCTTGTCACAATTATCCAGTGATGCCCCAAAATCTAAATTGGAAGAATTATTCTTATTTTTTTAGTAAACAACAATCAGGGCTATCTAATATCATCTATCAATAATAAATAACAAAATAGATTTTATAATTCAAAACATTAATGTACACATCTATATTCATTCCCAAAAATCATATACAATACTCAGAATCTACATATTCATCACATATCTTAAGTGGGTTTTATTTAATTCCCCTTTCATTTTTGTTGAGTAGTAACGATGATGTAACTTACATTTTGTAGAATTTTTGTTTGAACAATTCTAAATATGTTTTTTTTCTAATCCATCATTTTTTCATCCTAAACCTATCAGATTCCTTCCTAATCATGGATAAATTATATTATAGGTTGAAGAAGTTCTAGAACCCTTATATGCAACCTGACAACAAATAAAATGCTGCAAAACTTTAAAAAATAGAAATAGCCGAAAAATAATTCCTTGTCAGCATTCTAAAATATTTTTACCTTCGATTATAAAGAACAAAAAGCCTTATAATTCCTCACAATATCAAACCTATTTAACATTTCATTTAATTTAAAGCATATTTGAAAAGTTACTTATGAGCAGCAAATTAGAAAAGCCATTATATTTTGCATATGAATATGTAAATACCTTGTAACTCGAGTAGGCACTTGAGGTAATGAAAAACACACAAAAACTAAATTAATGGCCAACTCTCATTGACAGTAGTCTGCAACATATGACCATTAGCATTAGCTCAATTATCACTGGTGGGTTTTATTCAATTCCCATAATAGAAAAGAAATAACTTCTATTTTGTGCAATTTATTTGCACAAAAAAAAAATCCACTCTAAACCTCTTAGATTCACTTCTAATCATGAAGAAATTGTATTATAGGTTGAAGAAGTTGTAGACCCCTGACATGCAAGCTCACATTGAAAAATGTTGCAAAACTTCAAAAAATAGTAATAGCCGAAAAGTAATTCCCTATCAGCACCCTAAAATATTTTGCATTTAGCCATAAAGCACTACAATCTTATGATTCCTTACAACCAAACCTATTTAATATATCATTTAATTTAAAATATGCTTTAATAGCTTATTAGTAGATTAGACAGTCATTATATTTTGCATATGAACAAGTCCTTGAAGTAATGAAACAAAAAACACCAAATTAGTAGCCAAAACTCTCTTTTTTTTTTTTTTTTTTTTTTTAAGTTAGTAGCCAAAACTCATTTGTAATAGTTTTTAACACCATGATCATAACTTTATCACAATTATTTAGGGTGAGTTTTATTCAATTACCCTTTCATTTTTGTTTAGTAATAAAGATGTAACTTTTATTTTGTGCAAATTTGTTCGCACAACTTTTAGCTATATTTTGTCCTATTTATTATTTTTTTATTCCTACATTTTAAATTCATTCCAAATCATGGAGAAATTGCATTATAGGTTGAAGATGCTGTAGACCGTGTTCTAAAATATTTATTACCTTTGCCTATAAAGCATTGAAAACATTATTATTCCTTACAATATCAAACCTATTTAATATTTCATGTAATTTACAGCGTATTCAAAGAGCTACTTATGAGTAGTAAATTAATATAGCCACTATATTTAGCATATGAATATATAAGTACTCTACAACTCAAGTTGATCCTTCAAGTAATGAACCAACTCACTAAATTGATAACCAACTCTCATCAGCAGTAGTCTTCAACACCGTGATCATTAGCCTTATCACAATTATCCGGGGTGGGTTTAATTCACCTTTCATTTTTGTTGAGCAATAACAACGATGTAACTTCTAGAACAATCTTATTCACACAACTAGCCATTTTTTTCTCTAATCTTCTTTTTTTCTCTCATTTTTAAACTTTTTAAATTAATCCGTATTACTCACTCTATTAGTAGATATTTACTCCTTTATTATACACGTCCAAACCATCAAGTCTCCCAACCATTTGTATTTTCAAGTTTGTATTAGATTGAGGCAAGGTAGAAGGACCCATGGTTCAAGGAATTGATGAACGCTAACTAAATTACTTAAAATTTATCATATATTAAATCAACTAATTACAATATTTATGAAGCCATTTTAAAATAGAAAAACTCATATTAGTTTTGTGATGCTACTTCAATTGGAAAGTTAGAAGACTAGATGCATTCTTATTTTTGCTTGACCAAGAAATGACTATTTGTCACAAGAGCTGTGTCCCAGCATGCATCTACACATGCTGTATATTTCTACAATTTATGTTGTAACTAGTTAGTTTGTAATTGCTCGTTGACTTCTTTTGGCCTTTTGGGGACTCAGGTTGGATATGCTTTACTATCATTTTCCAAAGTATTTGGGCCAAACTGGAAAATTAATTTTCAGATACTAATAACCAACAACAATATCTATAATTACAAATTCTTTCTAAAGCCTTTCAATGTTCATTCAAAGCAAATCTTGAAAAAAGTGTTCTTTCTTATGTTCTCTCAATCCCAAGGTTCTCCACTGTTGTTCTTCCACTATTGAATATGTTTTCTTCAACTTATTGTTGTTGTTGTTAGAGCAAATCACCCCCAACCCTCTTTGAGTTAGTGTTATACATGTCACATGATATCAAAGCAAGGATTTTGACACTTAGGCTTAACATTCTAGAGAATTGATCCTTATGGTGTGGGTTACCAACTTTTCTAGTACTTTGCTAGAGGAAAGCATATCACGTTACTACAAGGGGTGTAAACGAGTCTAAGTTGAGCTCAATCTATTTACAACTAACTCAAGGTTGACTAACCTATCTAGTAATAAGCTTGAACTCAAGCTCATCTTGAGCTCGACACAAACTTAAATTCCTCCCTCAAATCCGCCAAATCCTTAATGACATAGACTAGGTAGTCGTGATAGAAGCATGCTAGTGAAATGATTGATAAAGGAAGTCAAATTAGAGTTCACTTGGTAAGGCATAGATGAGAGAAGCTCTGAGGAAGTCATGGAGGGAGCTTGCTAGCACAAGCATCAATGAAACTAATGGCTTGAAGAAGATGATAAGTTCATGAGACTTGTTGCGAACAAGCTTAGCATGAACCTAAAGCGGGATGAAACAAATTTTAGGGTTTACTTGTTTATTCTAATCCAGCTAACTTGCAAACTAATGAGCCAAGCCTCGCTAAGCTCAAGCTCAAGCTTGTTAATCTAATTTGAGCTCAAGCTCGACTTGTGAGCTAGTTAGCGAGTTAATTTTAAGTTTGCTCACGAGTCAGTTTAACTCACACCCATAACCACCAATCTTTGATAACATCCCATTGAAATTTTTAAGGATACAAATGTACATTTGTATCTTCAATTGATTGATTTTATATTTGGCATTTCACGGTGAATGGATACTCTCCACCTTCCAAATTTGCTAATGGAGTTAATATTGAGAAGAGCTATGAGGAGAGAATGTTGAAAATTGAAATGGATCTAACTAACGTAATGTCAAGATTATGACTTATTTCTTTTTTGCACTCAAGCCGAATGACTACCTTAGGGGTTCAATGCTAAAAACTAACAAGAAAAATTTGGACAAACAAAAATCATTACCTACAAGGGAATGAATGGACCGAGTCACAAATGAACAAGTAGATTATGAATACAAACTCTTTAGCATGAAATCTAAAGAGCATTTTAGATCTATTTAATCGTTATATAAAGTTTATCAATGGTTTGCAATGTCTTGGCAAGGTTGATATAAATCAAGAGCTTGTAAATAAGATCTTTAAAAGCTTGCTTATGGAATCAGATTCATAGGCCACCACCATTATGAAGGTTAAAGATTGATCTATTTACTCATTAAACTTTAAATTGGATCATTAGCCGCTCACCGGAACAAAATTGGAGAGGAGCATAAAGATGGAGGCTTAAAGAGAAAGTCAGACTCAAAAGGCATTGCTCAAAGGACAACATCTCTTAAGCATTGAATCTAGTGAATGCGTAGAGGATATTTATGAAGACCTAGCCTTAGTATTACAAACATTCAACGTTTTTATGAAGAGGAAGAGGCAAGGCAAAATATGACAAGTAAGAAGATTTCCAAAGTCTTCCAACTCTAATCTTTTAGGTGACAAGAGGAGGAGAAACTCATCTCTTAAGGCTGCAAAAAGATAGGACATGTCAGATGAATGTATCCTCTTTATAAAAGTGACATGAAAGAGAAAGAGTGAATTCTCTTATAAAAGCGAGATGAAAGAGAAAAAAAATGCATAAAAAGTCTATGAAGTACTAGATGAGATTTTATTTTCAACTAGTGAATCTGAGAAAACTAATATTTGCCTCGTGGCTCAAGATTATGTCTTGGATTCTCCTCAGGACAAGGTATGCGATCTAAACCATTATGAAGAGTTTAAAATTGTATTAGAAGACTTGCATGAAAGTTTTGCAAATTTAAAAAGAATACTTATAATTTATATTCTTAAAAAAATAAAAATAGCAACGTTTTAATTGAAAATAATAGATTGCATAAGAAATCAACATTTTGCTCTAAGCTTGAAAGAGAAGTGGCTCTGATCAAAGTAAAATTAGTTGAGAGGAGGACGATGATAAAGAACTTGCAGAACTTAAAAATGATATATTACTTGAGGTAAAAACCATGTGACCATATATAAACATAATGCATAAACCATTTTATAATTACCATACCTTAAATTTGGGTGAACCAATTAGACAAGCAAACTCAACAACTTCACCTCCAGCTTTTTCTGAAAGCCAAACATATTATGAGCAGATAAAAAAAAATAAAATCGATAATAGCTAAAAATGCATTATATTATGTTAAATAAATAACACTCCTATGTCCAATGTATAAAAAAAACAGTTGCAATATCATTATTAAACAAAATCTTATTTTATGAACAGCTCATTAAGTTGACTTAAAATAAGAGCACAAAATTTGCGATAATAAGCAGACAACTTATTCTCGATAACACTTCAAAAATATTGGACGCCATTTCCACTATTTTTTCTTTATAATTATATTGCAAAATCAACTAAGGGCCTCAAGTAAAGACACCTATAAGTTTCATTGCAGCACATAGTGTTCCCCCAGTAGCAATCAAATCATCAAATATCAGTACACGTTCTCTTGGCTGAACAGCTCCAACGTTCATCTCCAAGCAATCCTTGCCATATTCAAGCTCATAAGCTTCAGATAAAACTTCACCTGAATGTTTTTAAAATTATCTTAATTCTCGCATGAAAAAGAAAATTTAGTGTTAATTGTTAATTTTAAGTAATCATAAAAAATAATAAAAGAAGTCGTAGTAATTTTAAAACAAATCTCCAAAAATAATAAAGGGCATGTATCTAAAAAAAATTAAATGTCAATGTGCGAGTTTTGCAACGAGTTATTATGTAATATTCTTCTCAATGAGACCTGGCATGTAGAAATGGAGCAAGATAATTTAACACTCAGCTACACGAAAAAAGAGAAGACTAACCAGAGCTAGACATTTATTGGCAAAAGGTTGGTCAAACCGATTTGAATGAATAGTTCAACAAGATAAAAGCATAGCTGCTTACAATTTAGAGAACTAGACAAGACTAACAAGAGCTCATAGATATGACATAACTATCAATTGTCCATGACTTTCAACTTGATTTGAAAAAGCATGCTCAAGATACACGAGATAAAATTGGCATGTTTTATTTTTTGATGGAGTTATTGACATGGATTTGGCCAGAGTTTAATTTTGGATGGAGCTTATATCTATTGGAAGGCCAAGTTTAGATTTAATGGGTTGCCTTTGCACCAACCTAAATTGATTAGGATGATGCTTTACATTCGTTAGAAGACCCATGCGCACAAGAGTTAAAATTTCAAAAGAGAGGAAAGCCTGATTATGAGGCTTCGATTCTATGACTTTATAGGTAAGGCGACATGTTTCGTTTAATTTGACAGGTTTGTTGGCTTTTGATCAGCCTAGATTGATCAGATTGAGGCTTACATCCATTAGAATGTCATAAGTAGAGATTACAATCTTATAAGAGAGAAAAGTAAAGCAATGGATCTTACAACCTTATACTCTGTTTAAGATGGCCTAATTGGTTTAATATGACAAGCTTGTTGGCTGGCCCAGATTGATTGAGTTTGGGCTTGCATATATTGTAATACCCATAAATGAAACTTATAACTTCAAGAGAGAGAGAGAGAGATAGAGAGGAAAGCCCAATAATGGGTATTACAACCTTATACTATTAGTTAAGGTGTTATGATTGGTTTAATTTGATCGGTATGCTAGCTTTTGTTGGCTCAAATTGATTGAGTTAAGGCTTATGTTCATTGTAAGGCCCTTAGATGAAACTTATAACCTTGGGGGAGAGAAGAGTTTCATAATGAATTTTATAACATTACACTATAGCTAAGATGGAACATTTTATTTAGTTTTATCATTTTATGGTGATAACATGTATGATTGGTTTAATTTGCAATTAGTTTAATTTGATGGATTTGGTAGCTTTGTGCCAGCTCAAATTAATTGAGTTGGGGATTACATCCAATGGAAGACCCATAAATGAGATTTACAATCTTGAGTGAGAGGAAAGCCTAGTAATGAGTCTTAAAACATTATACCATATGTAAGACGGACTAGTTGATTTAGTTGGACCACATGTTCTATTTATGCCAGCCTAAATTGATTGGGTTAGTACTTGCAATCAATGGTGTAGGCCCAAATATGGGATTTATAACCTTGAGGGAGAGAAAAGTATAATAATAGGATGTTATACATTAGCAATATATCTTTAGCCAAATAAAATACAGACTAAATAGTCTAAACACATGTAATAAGCACTAGTTTATTTCTTATTTTCTATTTTAAGTTTGTGTTAGGTAGACCAGTTCTATGTTGTAAACTTGGTCTACCCAAGTATTATAAATGTCCCTCCTATTGCAAGAAAATGTTATAGAATGAATAATTTCTGGTTTCTCCCTCTCTAGCCTATCTTCTTCTCCTTCTTTTTCCTTAAAGAGTCCACACCTACTCAAAATGTGTCTTCCGCTTCTCGATGTAGATCAAGAAGCATAACATAGGTCTTTATGAACTTATCTCATAAATAAGGTGCTCCAACTAGTTTAATTTGATGGTTTTTTGGTTATATGCATGTCCAAATTGATTAAGTTTGGTTTTCATCCATTGGAAGGCCCATAAATGATAAAAAAGATTTCCAACCTTAAAGGAAAGGAAATCATAGCAATGGATCTAACGTCTTTATTCTACAGGTAAAGTGCCACATTTATTGGAATAAGGCTTATATATGTTACATGTAGATAACTTATTTTGATTTGTTATTCTCAATTTTAATATGAGTTTAAGAACTTACTACTTTGAGTCCAATGCTTGTAACTTGGGATACCTGATAAAATGCTAACATACCAATTTACCTAATAGATTGTGACTTACAATCTTCAATTTAAGGGAGCCGCGTAAGTCTTGTTATTTAGAATGTAGATGAAATATAGATGTCCTTTGGACAAGATCACCACCTGTAAGTCACCGATGAATAAAAAAATCTTCAACTTCACCGATGTGATCCCTCCTAAGTGAAGAAATTTGGAAAAAGATATACAATGGCATCAATGGAGAAAGCTGAAGTAGAAAGTGCGGAATATCCTTCCTATACAGTAGGAATTTCAAACATATTTCACTAACAAATTTTTAAAAAAAAATTGACATATTTATTCAATTTTGGGCATTATGGGGCATCAAAATTTACTTTTTTCTCTAATTGATAAATTTTAGTAGCTTTATAGGCTGTGTATTGACATATATGATCCAAAATAGGGCTAAAAATCGATAGAGAATGTGGACTCGAAAGAGCTTAGTCACACTATATTTTAGCTTTCTTTATTGGAACTTCTTTAGCTCACTTTGAGAAATAATCAATTGTGAAGAGGCCCTAAGGAAGATTAAGGGTAAACATGATTGATACATTGGTGTCCTAACTCTCGAATGGCCAAGATAATATTGCAATGTGTAGAAATTAGGCAAGCAATACATTGGCTCCATGAATTTGATGAAAGTGACACTTATTTACATGGTTGATACAATCTTTAACTATGTTTGACCAACGTGTGTGTATATACATGTTTGCATTATGCCTTTATGACTTGTCAAATCCACGACATTAGATATACCCTTGGGTTTGTGAGTTAGGAAGGGCTGGCACAATCCCTAGTTTTATCAAGTCAACTAATTTGATCATTTATGCCCTTCAGTTTATTAAGCTAAAGAGACATTTGGCTTAATATTTAAATATTTTAAGCTAGTGGAAGTGTGAATGCACAAATTCTAATGTAGGAGCTTTTCAAATCTGCATTATTAGCTATGAATTTAGGTTTGTAAGTATACTATCATGGCTTGTCCCTTCAACTTGTTAAAGCATTGGAAATGAATCTCTCATTCAATTATTTGAGTCTTCTTTGTTCACAACCCTTCTTCTAACTCATCTACATGAGCTTGTTGAGTTTAGATTTCATCCAATGTTATGCTAGTTTGGGGTTCTTCTACTCTTACGGAGATTCCTTTTATTTAGCTTCCAATATTTTGTTTTATAAAACTGCTATATTTTCTCATTTCAATGAGCTCTATAAAAACAGCCTCTAGTATGGCAGGAGCTCTAAGCACATGATATCGTTGGAGCGAAGACCTTAAGTCAATATCCAAAGTCATGAAAGAAAACTTATTATCTTCTAAGACAATTTATGCTTGCACAAATTGTTTGGGTTGGGGCCTACATCAATTAAAAGCCCCATAAATGGGACTTGTAACCGCAAGGGATAGGAAAGCTCAACAAAGAATTTAATATCCTTAATTAATGAATAAAGTAGCCCATTTGGTCCAAGTTTGTTGGTTTGAGGCTTACATCCATTTAAAGGCCTATAAGTGGATATTCTTATCTTGAGGGGGAGAGAAACTCAATAATGAATCTTATAGCCTAAACCCATATGTGAGCTAACCCACTTAGCTTAACTTCGCAGGCTTGCTAGCTTTATACCGACCCAAATTAATTTGGTAGTGTTGACTTAAATCCATTGAAAAGCCCATAAATGGGACTACAAACCTCTGGTGGGAGAGGAATGCCCAATAATGGATCTTATGGCCTTAACCTATAAATAAAGTGGTCTATTTAGTTTAATTTGACAGGGTTGTTGGCTATGTGCAGACCAAAATTGATTGGGTTAGGGCTTATATCCATTCGAAGACCCATATATAGGACTTATAACTTATTATGAGAGGAAAGCCTAGAATGGATCTTAAGGCATTATCCTATAGGCAAGGTACATTAATTGGCTTAATTTGGCAAATTCCCTGGTTATGTTTGCCAAAATTGATTAAGATGGGGCTAACATCCGTATGAGGCACATAAGCAAAACTTGCAACCTCAATTGATAGGAAAGCCTGTTAGTAGATATTATGGCCTTATCATATATGTAAGATAGAATGGTCAGTTTAGTTTGAATGACTTGTTTTTGTGATGCCCCAAATAGTTTATGTTGGAATTTACAACTGTTGAAAGACCCATAAGCCAAATTTATAACTTATAGGGAGAGGAGAGCCCAACAATGGGTATTACGATCTTATCCTATAGGTAATTGGACCAAATAGTTTAATTATACAAGCTTATTGGCTTAATGCCAACTCAAATTGCTAGCGTGGAGGCTTACATCCATTAAAAGGCATATAAGAGACTTATAAACATAAGGGAGGGGAAATCTCATTATTATATCTCAGGGCCTTATCTTATAAGTAATGTGGCATAATTAGTTTAATTTAATAGGACTTACATCCATTGGAAAGAGAGGAACCCAATAACCAAAACTCTAATGACGACGCTTAGTTCATATTTGACAACCAAGACAAGGCCTTGAGCATGCATACTACATCAAAGAGATTGTGTAGGCATTCTCTCATAACAACCTAGAAGTTACATCAAGTTTTGATTTGACAAAATTAGTGGTCAAAAAAATTGCTATGAATTTAACAAAAACTAACAAAGGGAGGAGATACCTCATATAGGACCAAAGATCAACAATGGAGGTCTTCAAAGATTGGTCAGCCAAAGATTCACAAGCGAGATCATCATTATAGTGATTATATTATTCATCTAATTCATTAAACTTTTACAAAAAAATTATCATTTTCTTTTTATTTCTTTCTTTTATTTCCTTCCTTTTTTTTCATTAGTGATTACAAGAATGATAATAACAACTAACTCTCGACAAGTGGGCGGTCAAAGAGATTTGGTGCGACAAGCCTATATTTGATCACTGATCACAATAACAAACATCAAAATAGTGATTCGAGTATCATTGTTGAATTTTTTATTGTCTGCGATTGTTTGCAAGCAATCAATTACTCTGCATTTGGATAAAAAATCAACTTAGGGAGAGACCTCATGTCAAACCAAAGATCAACAACAAAGGGGTAGTTTTTAATGACTACAGGTCTTTATCTTAATTGAATTAAAGATCAACATCTCTTCAACCATTCAACTACATTATTTTAGTCTTTTCAAGAACAATATTTTTTCTTTTCTTATAGGTGATTATGAGAATGATGCTATCATCGAATTCCCCTTAGCGAGTGATCAGATGCACGAATGAGATTATGCTCACCTACAACTACAATGGCAATCAACTGACAAAGATTCAAGAGTCGGCAATAGACATTTGATCATACATAGTCATTGACAAAAAAATATATCACTTTACATGGGGACCTCATGCAGAAATAATGATCAATGCTAGAGGGTTAGTCTTCAAAATTTAGTCTGACAAAAGATCAACAATGCAGGGTCTTCAATTAAGCATGACAAAATATCATTATCTTTAAAATATTCATCTACATTTTTGCATAAGGGAATGATCGTGAGAAACATGCCCGTGCATGTGTACATTACATGACTTGGACTCAAATGGCTAAACAATTGATCCTAAGACTATTCACTCAGGTCAAGTGCAAAGCTCATGTTAGCGAGAGATGGTCAAACAATGGGTCAACGATGAGAGCAAGTGAGATTTCCTAAAGAGAACATGAGAGAGAAGCGGGGCACATTATAGGTTGGGGATGGAGAGAAGATTGTGCACTATGTGGGCAAAGGCTTAGAGCAAGCAAGCTAGAATCTGCAGAGAGCAATAGTAATGGGGATAGCACAAGGGAAAAACCTATGGCAGTGAGTTGTGAGAAGATGAGAAGCTAAGGTTGGAAGGGTGCATGTGCTTTTTAGGGAAAGAATGTGGCGGGGCATGAGGGAGACATGATGGTTGGATGGGAGAGAACAAATCTAGGAGAACATGATACTTGTGGGTTCAATTAAGGCTCATATGAGTCACATAAGGAAAATGATGATGCCCTAATATGAATATATTATTATTTTTTCTAGTAAGCATAGTTATTTTATTTAATTGGACTATTCGTGTTAAAAAAATCCAAAATGCCTTTATGAACATTGTTCGTTATTATTTTGCATTCATGTTGCATCTTGGTAGTTCAATGAGCAAGTTAGGTCGAATGCAGCCCAACCAAAGGATTACAAAAATTAAAGAAAATAATGTTAACATATTATACCTAAGTAGATATTGAACTCAATGTAGGTCACTTAAATCATCAGCATCATTATATCTTCATTAGCCTCATACCAATTATTTATATTAAATATTTGTTTTGTTACAAGTATTTAGGATGCATAGTTATTCCAAATGCAGCATAAAATAAATACAATGCATTTGAAAAACTCAAGTGTTAAATCTACTTTTACACAAATCTTTTGAACAACTTCTATATTGTTATCATAAACCTACCAATTTTCCTTCATAACCTTCAAAACTAATTTTATATGCTCAACCAATGGAAACATTTTCTACCCTTAATATACATGTCCAAATATAACAAACCAATTTTCCACTAAGTTTTCAATACATGCTAGTCCCATCATTCTTTTAATATAATCATCCTCAATTTATCATTCATAATTTTGTTGTGAATTAAACTTCACATTTTTATTTCCAATACAAATTGGGCCCAACAGTCTTTTTATTGTCCAAAACTCAAATTCATTCAATATAGCCGGCACAAATAAAAAATTACCAAGTTTAAGGTAAAAAAATATGCATACATTAGGAATCTAAGCCAACGTTGCATGACTCATCATTTGTAGCCTCCTCCAATGTTGGCCTATCATTCTTGCCTCTTTTGATGCTTCTGATAAATGTAGCACTCCCTCCCAACCCTTGCTTCCACTTTTAGCACCATATGCATAACTAATTAAGACCTAAGCCCAAAAGGGCATTTATTAGCATCCAAATCAAGGCTTCATACAGTTTTCTGTCCATCATATCCTCCATTGTCATAACCCAATCATTGTTGTTGCCTCAATCAATGTTTATGTTACATGTAACACAAATCTTGAACATCTTAATCAACCCCTTTCATCCTACCGATATGAATAGAGGAACCACCAAGGCATAAAGATATAGAATTATCCTCATCATTTAAACATTTTAATCAATTTAATGGTAGAATTTCATGAATTTCATTATAAGATAATGAATTCACAATATTCTAAGAATATAAAAGTTTGTTCATACAAACAAGAGGAAAGGAGAACCAACTTTCAATGCCTACAATTGAGGGACAAAATCCAACTTGCCCTACACATGTACGTCTATTTAGTAATCAAAACTTCTATCACATCTTGAATAAAACATGGAAGTCATTCCAGAATTAAAAAAAAATCTTAGTAATAATAACATTACATCTACAGGAGTCCTTTAGCACCTATCATACCTGATCATTCCAAAAAGAATAATTCTATATCAAGACCGAGCAAATTGCAATATGAGATGAAACTTTAAGAATGAAGCCATAAGTACACATTGACAATCTAGTTTTCCAGATAGGATATTTGACCCCATTATCAACTACATATAATTGGAAACCAAAACATACAAAAGGCCTTCCAAACCATGAAGCATCAAAAAGGAAATCATTAGCTCCAAACTTTTCTCAACAGCGCAAGAATAGGGGCAAAGCTCTAGAACCACAAAAGTTTATTCCTAATGCAATATCATACAAGTACTAACAAGAGTCATATAATACTAAGATTTGTTGGTGGGACAACTTTAAAAAGAATGAATCGGGTTCTTTTTTATTTATGTGTTTTGAGTATTTAAATAGATTAAATACTACAGTATTACACCTAATATTTATCTTGACATAAAATTTCGAATGATTTTCTTGTCTCTACGATGATGCCTAGTTTTTAATTGATGAGGAACAAACCTAAGGTAGATAGGTGAATATTCTTAAAAAGGGAAAAGTTCAATCTAGTTAACTAAAACAGCTACAGCAAAGAACAATATTTGTAAATATCTATTAAGTAACAAGCTAAGAGGTAAGGGCATTGGTATCATCAAATGACATAGCAACAAATTCATACAGTATACAAAATAAAGCTAGTAGAGACCTTTCAAACATCAGATAAGGAAAGTAGCAAAACTCTAATGCAATAAAGTATGGAATAGAATTTCCTCCCAAAGAGAAGAAGAAGACAACCCAACATTTTCCATTACCATGGTTGTGTGATACCTAAATTTATTTTCATAATGTGAGGCCGAATAATGCAGGAGGAAAATTTTAACTACAAAAACACATCATACAAAGAAAGTAACAAAAATAAAATCACTCAAGTGGTTAACATGCGGAACAGATGAACTATAAATTATGGAAAAAATTCAATGGTACCTGGAAACTTCTTTGGTTTTTGTAGTGGTATAAACTTCGCACCAATAGCTAGAGCTACTGAAGTAGCAAATATAAATCCTCTAGCTTCAATACCTGATACAAAAATTTATAACTATTTTTGCATGTTACAAGTGTTTGTCTAAAGGCCGAATATTGTTGTTAAAAATTCATTATGGTATAAGAAAACCACCCATTGCATGTATAAAAGAAAGAAATTCACGTTTCATGCAAATATTACACTTCTTCCTTACAAATTAATTATTAATTCCTTGGAGCATGTGAATTATGAGGTGTTTGTTTTGCTAAAAAAAAAAGAATGTTGAATAACATATAATACAGTCTAAAAGGAATATAATATATATGAAATATTTTAAGTTGTTTGAATGAGTGTAAAATAAATGCATGTGATTGTTTTTTTTTTTTTTTTTTTTTTTTGTAAAATGAATGAAATAGAAAGCCCGAGAGGCAGCCTTTTTTTTTTTTGCTTGAAGTAAAATGAATGAAATAGAAAGCCCGAGAGGCAGCCAGTGGGAGGCAAGCGATGGCCAACGACGAGTGGCAAAGACACCTAAATTATCCAAATCTAATGATTTCAAGTACACTAAAGTAAAAAAAAAAAAAGAGGGTGAATTACATTTGAAATACTTTTCCCCACTTTTTCTTCAAACCAAACAACCCTATATAAAAAAATGTAGGTTTAACAAATTTATCCTTACTCTATCAAAAACCAACAATAAAATATATAAGAATGGTAAATAGGGAGAACAATAACAAAGATAAAAGTAAATCCATGTATTGGCGGTATCTTAAAATAGGGATCATCACATGAATTCACAAACATTACAAACATGGCCTTGGTATTCCAACATGCATTTCTAACAAGTAGTGAATAACTAGCCAAATTGCAAACTATTTTGTGATAACCTTTGGACAAGGCTCATAATTGGTATGCAATAGTCCTTATTGCACAATATACTGTAATAACAAGAAAATTACATGATGAGTTAGATTTCCTCCCTAGAAACTCAGAGATTAGGGTTTTAAAATCAAAACACACACTCTTCCTCCCTATTAAAGCTAGGGCAAGGTTTTGTGCATCGCCCATCAACAATGCACAACTTTTACCTTTTAAAATTGAACAAAAGGGTCACCACCTAGGGGGCTAAAAGTTATAATTAATACCCTACCAAAACCATTAGCTTAAATTATTGCTCTGGATGCATGATGAGACAAAGTGTACACAGTTACACGCCAATGAAAATAAGCATGAATTCTCTAAAATACATAAGAAACCTAAGAATAAAAGAAATATTGTTGAAGATCAAGTCAAGTGGATTGAGATCAATGAGTAAGAAACAAATCTCTAGCTCTTCAATAATGTGAATTAGTCGAAATTAAGACATGTAGACACTGCTCAAATGATCATAGCAAAAAACATCACAATGTCAAATGGCTATAGCTTTTCTATGAAGTGTTTGGCGAGGCTTCACAATGACAAGAGAGGCATTGTAATGTATGCGCCATATTATATGAATCATATTTCCTTATTGATAGGTTGCATTGTTAAACTTCGTCAACATATTAGGATTTGTTCATGATGCATGCCTTCAAGAAAATTTGAAATTTAAATCTCCATTTACTGGATAAATTTGAAGATACATAACTTAAAATGCTAAACTTTAAACAATTTTGATTAAATTTCTTTAAACAAGTAGTTCATCCATAAGATAGACAAATCATATTTATGCAGTTTGCCAATTATTAGAAGAAAGCTCTACGAAACCCAACAATTATAAACATTACATCTTCAATTATCTCTCTAGAAATTGTTTATGGTGTATTCATTACAAAACATATAAGTATATTAGTAAATTTGTCACATGCATCATATATTTTTACATCATTTATTAATCATATATATCATATATATAATTTCCAGGATAATATTCACTAGAAACTTACAATTAATTATGAAAGTTATAAGCAACTATATATTTGAACAAGAGATATATACAATTTAAATCAAGTGTCATCTAAACCATGAAATGCTTTCTAAAGAAATCCTTAACAAAGTTAACAACTAGAAAAATAAGGCCATACAAAATTATACAACAATTTAAACAAAAACTTATAAGCAGAAATTCTAAAATAATTGTGGCATTAGCTTAGTAATTAAATAAGACATCTCACAATTTCATTCAAAATTCAATTAATTTCAATCAAGTGTCCTAATACAAGACTAACACCGGGGTTCATAGTAATCACCCCAAATACATTAAGAATAATACAAGATGAAAATAAAGTGTCCTTATTACACATAAAAAAACATAAGCAAAACATGTTTAAAGCATAATGGATACGTATGATGCCTACTAATTATGCTATTAATGAATTAAAATACAAATGCAAAATACATTCATGACCAAAGATTAAAGGAACTTACAAGACATTTTTCCTTTGGGATACCCATTCAACTCCATATCCATATTGCCCAAACAACCATAAAAATATTATTTTTTTAGATTATTATTAGAGATGAAACTACATCTACTACTACTTAAGTTAAGTTCATTATATAAATGAATCATCATAGAATTTATAATCATAACTAAGATTATTACTTCAATAGTTTATATTCTCAAAGCAATTAAGATTAAGCTTTTTTATAAGCTAATCTTTTCAAAGTGATTAACACAGAGCATTCAATCACCCACATAGATTCAAAGCCCATTCACCACTGTGTACTAACTTAAATCATATCCTTTCCTATGGAGTTAATCAACATTGAGTAGCATATCCAAATTCATCAGATCAAAAAAAGAAAGCCTTCGTCAAACCAACAGTGCCTCTCAAACTTTTAATTATTCTGCTTTATGGGCATCTCAATCACCAAAAAAAAAAATACTGCAAATTTAACTACCCCATTACAAGTACCTATTGTCACAATAAGTTCATAACATATAGGCATTCCTAGAGGAAGACATTTCTGATCTGATAGGTAACTCCAGCGAAGTGTGAGAAAAAAAAGATCCTGCACTGTCGAATCAATTCAAAACTTCTGAAAGAAACTCAGTAATAAAACCAAATAAATATCATCTTTCAACACCAAACAAAAGCCTTCAAAACCCTTCAAAAATAGGACAAAAATAACAACAAAGTGCTTAACTTTAGTCACAGAAACCCCAAACCAAAGCTACGAATTCCTCCACTCCCTCGAGTAAATGCAGCCATGCGACCAAAAAACATCAAAACAGAGCTTGAAAGAACCAACGCTGTAGAGAAAAATCACATTACCTGCAACTGCAGCGATTCCCATGTCTCTATAACGGTGGACGAAGAACTCCACCGCGTCCTTAAAGACCTTGGGCCGAAGCAGCAGCGTCGTGATGTCATTGAACATGATCCCTAAACACCCACCAAGATCAAATCTTTACGGTGAGCAGAATAAGAGATTAAGAAAGAGAGTGAGGACGTTCAGCGTGCAAAAGGACCTGGCTTTGGAAAGTGCGGAACCACCCGAATAGCAGCCGATATGGCCTGAAGCCTTGCGTCAACTCCGTTCTCTTCCTCTATCATTGTTTCCTCTCCCGCTTCTTCTCCGTCCTTTTATCCTTCTCTATTTACGCCCTCTGTTCCTCTTACCTTCTCTTTCCAGTTTCTTCGTTTTATAAATTCGTTCTAGCAACAAGGCGTTAGCTGCTGTCGCTGAACTCTGCTTCTGGAAAACAGTGGGTCGCCTCTCTCTCTCTCCCCCTCTCCTGCTGCGCTGGTGAGTGGTGAGGGGTTGTTTCAGTAATTTGGCAGAGGTCACAGACACACAGGGCAGTGGATCTGGCCCCCATCTACCCTTTTTCTCCTTCCTTTCATTATTTACTGTATAGGCTTCTTTTCGCGCGCGCGAAGCCCTCTCTCTCTCTCTAAGATTAGTGGTAAATAGAAGGGAATAATAATCCGAATCGGACGTTAGGATTTGAGAAGCAATGAGATCCGGTATTTGAGAGCGGGACCCATTTTCTCTTTCTTCGTTAATCTGCTTCTACAGTGGCCGGCGCAATAGATGAATAGAAGTCCCCATGTAAAATAGGTAAAATTAAAACAAGCAACATTTTTATTTTATTATGTATGGGATGATGTGACGTATTTTAATTGACCTCGTAATAATTTCTCGTAAAGATAAAGAGCCCCATTAGGTGCCAGTTAGGGGCATGGCTAAACAAACAATCTATTTTTCACCTCAGATTATAATTATATTAGACAGTAATTTATCTTCAACTAAATTTTATTTTTAACACACGCAAAAATATTATTTGTATATTCTTTATCATTTCTGTTTTTTTGGTGAAAATTGTGACGTCGATATTGGTGTGGAAACTATTCACAGCCTACATAATATGCAAAAATGCATTTTCATTTGTCGTTTGGGTGGAGGCTCATGGGTGCTCCAAATGATTTTGTTAATGAGTATAATTTTACCCGTAATATTTTAGAAAGTTAGCTCATCCCTAAAATAGGGAAAATAATATGGAGCAAATAATTTAATATTCATTGACTTATCGGTTCTTAAAAACCAAGTAAATATTGGGAAAATACTAAGTATAATCTCAAAAGGATGCTCACATCTCAAATGGCTCCTTCTCATTAGCCCTATTAGAAATTTTTGGATAAAGTGACATTTGTTTGTATCCATGCCCTTATGAGGTTTATATAGTAATGAGTCAATCCAACGATTTTTTAATACAAATACTTTTTTACATATTATTATGTTATATTGTGACTCATTCATAATGGGCTTGTTTGAAAAGATCAACTTATGCAAGTTGAACTTCAAATTTATTGTTTGAGGTGGCTTTTTAAATAACTGCAAGTGGGTGATTAAAATTATGCTAAAGAATGGTGGGATCCAACCATATTTTGATGTGATGGCCTCGATTGGTGGGATTCATGTAGAAAATGGAGTATCTCAATTTGAGAATCTCCCATATAATGGATATAGTCCTCTAGACATTTGTAAACAACATTCATCATCAATGTTTCTTTGGTTGAGAGGTAGGAAGACAAAAGCTTAATCTTAATCCAGGGCAAAGTTCTTTGGATGGTGGATTCTTCTTAGGGAATTTTTCAAGAAGAACCTGTTCAACACAAGGTTCTCCCTAGGGAGTTTAAAATAAGCATACCCTCCATGATCTTTTAAATAAAACTTTCATTTTTTTATTACATATATTATGGAGCTCACTGAATGACTTTGCATTGAGAACTTTGTCCAATATTTGGTACCCTTTGAGTTATCCAAATTGATGTGTCCTTCATGGTTTTTTAAATAAGAGAAAGCTTTACTCCCATTGATTTTCTTAAGAACTTTTTAATAACAACCATTTATAATACTAAGCACCCCATCCCAAGAAATTTGAATTAGATTTGTACACTCACATTTGGCTTTTTAGGCATTTAATAGTTATTCAGTGGGTTAAGGAAGAAGAACTCACACCTTGGGGACCTCATGAAGGCTTGTTTCAAATTCATTGGATTTAGCTCCATAATGGGGCTGGTGTCAAGCGCCTCCCACTCGAACAACTAAGAACCGTAATGAATTGCCTTACTCTCCATTCTCCCCCTTTAAGAAGAACTCACCGTCAATGTTGCTTACCATCCTTCATGATGGAGTGTCATCAATCCCACTCATCGTTTCAACCACAAAGAAGTTATTCATTAACTAAATGCTCAACTTGCCCTACCATTGTCAATTGGCCTTGGAGCTCATTAACCCTGCAACCTATGTAATGCCCACAACTACATAACTTGGTAAGAATCTTATATTTGTCTCTAAATATGTTAAATTATAAATATAAAGGAGTATATAGTTGAATAGGTGAGTCTAGAAGTTAAAGTGGGAAAATCCCTCTTGGAGAATTTCAGCACTGGTCTCAGGAGCACTATAGTGCTTTGCCCTCTATTTGGGAGGGAAGTTTTGGGAGCGCTGCAGCGCTAGTCTTGGGAGCCCAGTGTGATGTTTCCTCTCGATTTGGGAGGAGAAGTTTTAGAGCACGGCGGTGTTAAAGTATCTATTTCGATAAATCAATTAGGCGACATTGTGGCTCTATTATTTTTATCTAACAAGATCTAGAATATCCGAGAAAGTGCTACAACTAGCGCTAGGTAAGGTAACGATGCGACACAACATAAAAAAATGATATTTTAATATAAAATTTATCATATCATTTAATTTACATCCCCCATACATGTAACACCCACCATCACACAATTCAAGAAATTAACTAAACCTTAGTATAGTTGTTTATTGTAAGTCATATGGTGCTAGATTAACCTTAGATAAGTCAAGAAATTGGGAAAAATGAAAATGTAAGTCACAAAAAATGAAAGAGAACACCACGATGTTGGGAAGATTGATGTTGCTGCATTGAGCTCTTTATTTGAGAGTTGAATTTAGGGGAGTGTTACGGTGCTCAACTCTATGTTTATGAGATTTTGGGAGGATCTGGACTATTCTTTTAAAGCGCTACAGCACTGTAGCGTGCTAAGCCAAAATGAGTTCTTTTTTAAATAAATATCTTAATCCATTTGTTTAACCACCTCACCCAACCCATTCTTGTTAGAGAATAGAAGGAAAGGAAGAGGAGAAAAGAGGAGAGAGAAAGACAGGGGGAAGGTGAGGCGGAACTCGAAAATGTTCTATCAAGCTAGTTAAAAAAATTGTCAGACTTAAGGTAGATAGCCTATGCTCTATTTCTAATTTCGATTTTAGTATTTCTATAAAAAGATATACTTTAAAACATATTATCTAAAGTTTGGGAGAAGTTTCATCACATAACTTTTAATATAATGTTTTTATACTCTATTTTGAACAAATTGATCATATAAGTGTAAATTTTCAAGGGTTGGTTTTCTCTGGATAAATTTCTAGGAGTTGGAAAAATGTTTCATTTCTAAAACTCTATGTAGTTGACAAAATATGATAAACTGGCATTTTATATAATCTCGATGAAAATAATAATATTCTATAATTTTAGGGTAGGCAATAGGAATTTTGGGGTTTCTTGTGTGACAAGATGTTTTGAATACACTCAATTTTAATTTCTTAGTTATACCATGCATATGCATCATTGTGCATTTCCATGCATTCTAGAGCTTTATTGTGGAAAGAAAAATGCACTTTAATTTTTATGTTTGGGCTCAATGTACATATGTTTTTTACTTCTCCGTTTTGCTCTAACTTTGTAGTGGCTTTGTGTTGGAAATACTTTATTTTGTTCTTGTTCTGCATATTAGCAGTTTGTCTAACCTATTCTTCTTATAAGCTTTACAAATTATAAATCTTATTTTGTTATAAATTTAAAATATAAAAGGTAAAATTCTTTGTTGTCATATGTATTATAATTATAATTTATTAATTAAATTATGTTTTGGAGACAAGTTGGCCTACTAAGTTTTGCACTCATTTTGTTGCTCAAAATGTTTTAGGTAAAGGAAAGGGCTCCACTGAGTAGGTTTATTCTGATAGGAAGCAGAAGGTTCCCAATTTGTAAGCCGTAAGGTGTACTTTTTTTTAGTTCAAATTTTATTTAAATATTTTGTTGAAATTCATGCATTATGAACCATTAAATTGGATCTCCAGATAAGTTTGCAGATTTAAAAAAAAAAATTATATTACGGATATGTATTTTATTTTATTCTTTGGATGAATAGATGGTCGTGAGAGTGAAATTTGAATTTGGGTTGAGAGAGGTATAAGTGGCATAAATTAAAATCTTCCCTTGGGTGTTACAATACCTTCAGTAAGTGATAGAGAAGAAGATGAGGAGAAGAGGAAAGAGAAACAAAAGAGTTGGTTTCGAAGGCCTGGTGTGGGATTCAACTATCATGTCAATTAAGAAAATTGTTCTACTATATGTAGGATTCTGATATCATTTTTTTTTAAATCCAATTCTGATGTTTGTTTGAATAGATTTAGAATGAAATGTTTTTTTTATGTTTAAAGAACTTTTCACTATGTAAGTTTCGGTATGTTGTGGAATTTCCCATTCCGATCATTTTAATAGTAAGAAATCTAAATTTCATTGGTTGTTTTTTATATACAAATTGTTGAACTTTTTCTTATAAATGTGACATTTCCAATATTGGTTACAATTCATTAATTCTTTATATGTAGAATCTTTAAAAGAATCAATTATATGTAGAATCTTTAAAAGAATCTTTAGAAGTTAAAGTGGGAAAATCCCTCTTGGAGAATTTCAGCACTGGTCTCAGGAGCACTATAGTGCTTTGCCCTCTATTTGGGAGGGAAGTTTTGGGAGCGCTGCAGCGCTAGTCTTGGGAGCCCAGTGTTATGTTTAAAGAACTTTTCACTATGTAAGTTTTGGTATGTTGTGGAATTTTCCAGTCCGATCATTTTAATAGTAAGAAATCTAAATTTCATTGGTTGTTTTTTATATAGAAATTGTTGAACTTCTTTTTATAAATGTGGCATTTCCAATATTTGTTACAATTTACTAATTGCTTTAAAATGAAGTTTTATGCGTCATCTGTGAATACTCCTTAGAATATTAAATATTGAGTATGCATGCAAATTATACATGTTTTAGCCCCTAAAGCATTGTACATGTGGCACTTCATATATCCTCATATTTATATTCAGCGTTATATATACATGTCAACTCTATTCTTATTTGCATGTACATATGATGTTCATATGTTGAAATTTTTGATGTGGGAGATATTCAAGTGCAAATGTGCAATAGAAGTTTTGCATATATATATATATATATATATATATATATATATATATACTCAACACATCTCAATATTTGGCTTCATTTGGGACGGCTTTCTTATTGTTTA